TTGGAAATTAAACAACACACTTCCAAAAGTAATCTGTGAGTCAAAGAAGAAACCACAAATGAAAACACAACAAGTCCAAATTTATGGAACACAGGTAAAGCAATGTTTAGCAAGTGTTCTACAGTTTTCAATGGTTATGTTAGAAGGAAGAAAGATTTGAAACTGATAAACAAATGTTCTATTTCAAAAAAGTAAAGCAGCACAAATCAAATCCAAAATAATCAAAAAGAAAATCAGAAAATACATTTAAAACACCAAAACCAAAGTAGAAAAATAACAATGAAAATTAATAAATTCAACATTTCATTGTTGAAAAAAGATGATTAAAACTGGTAAACTATTAGCTAGAAAAGAGACATGATTCAAACTACAAAAAACAAAACAAAACAGAAAAGAGGAGACATTATTACAGACATTATAAGGACTCAGTAGTTGCAAAGGAATTTTTTTTGTGTGTATTTTCACTACCCTTTTTCCTCTTCTAATTAGTTATACATGACAGCAGAATGCATTGTATACAGATGGAGCACAACTTTTCATCTCTCTGTACACAAYGTAGAGTTGCACCTTTTGTGCAATCMTATATGTACTTAGGGTAATGACGTCTGTCTCATTTCACCATCTTTCCCACTCCCATGCCCCCTCCCCTTCCTCACTCCCCTCTGCCCAATCCAAAGTTCCTCTGTTCTTCTCTTCCTTTGCCATTCCCACCACCCCCATGATGGATCAGCAGCCACATATTCGAGAAAACATTTGGCCTTTGGTTTTTTGGAATTGGCTTATTTCGCTTAGCATGATATTCTCCAACTCCATCCATTTACCAAGGTTGCCAGGGAATTTTATGAATAATCTTACACCTAGAAATCAACAACTTCAATGAAATAGATACAATTCTCAAAAGAGGCCATGTTACCAAAATGTACTCAAGCAAGAATATAAAATCAAAACAATTCCATAAAAGATTTTTTAAAAATTAGTTGAGTGCAGTGGCACATGCCTGTAATCACAGTGGCTAGGGAAGCTGAGGCAGGAGGATTGGGAGTTCAAAGCCAGCCTCAGTATCTTAGTGAGGTCTTATGCAACTCAGTAAGACCCTGTGTCTAAATAAAATGTATTTTTAAAAAAGAACATTGGGAATGCGGTTCAGTGGTTAAGGGCTCCTAGGTTCAATCCCATATAAAAAGAAAGAAAGAAAGAAAGAAAGAAAGAAAGAAAGAAAGAAAGAAAGAAAGAAAGAARGAARGAARGAAGGAAGGAAGGAAGGAAGGAAGGAAGGAAGGAAGGAAGGAAGGAAGGAAGGAAGGATTGAATTAGTAATTTAATATCTTTTTAAGAAAGAAAACAAAAAACTTAGGTTGAAAGAATTGGTGAATTTTTACTAAATACATTGAAAGAGATAAAGTAATCCACCTTATCTGTAAGGGATATATTCTAAGACCATCCAATGGATGCTTGAAACCAGGAAGAGTACTGAACCCTTTAAGTCAATGTTTTTCTCATTTTAACTAAGCACTCATCGTGTACTCCAGCCATAACTTTTGCAATGTGATGGATGATAACTAAACTAGCACGAATTTTTTTTTTCCGTCTTCCAAGTTTCACGGGAGAAGATTCATTCTTACTATAGCTCTTAGCAACCTCAGCATTTTTTTCTTTCATTAAACCCATTTTGTTCCATTCTCCCAGATGTGGGACACCTATAAGAACTTAAATTGAGCATCAAATATACCAGTTATGCATAGTTTTTTTTAAAAACAATACCAGTTTTATATTCATATGCAAGAAAATGAACTTAGTCCTCTACCTCAAGCCATACATAAAAATTAACCCAAGTTGGATCTATGTAAGAACTAAAACTATAAACCTGCAGGAGAAAATATTAAAGAGAATCTTTTTAATTCTAACATAGGTAAAACTTTCCCTATATGAAATCTACAGCACAATCCATAAAACAATTGACATATTAGACTTTTATCAAAATTTAGAAGTTCTGATTTTCAAAACACATTGTTAAGAAAATAGCCATGGACTCAGAAAAATATTCGAAGATTATCTTAAAAAAAGGCATATCTAGAGTGAGGAACTTTTACAACAATAGTAAGAAATCAGTCCAATTTCAAAAGAGGTAAAAGAACTTGAAAAACATTTTTTTTCAAGAAAACATAAGAATAGCTAATAAGGATGAGAGTTTGGACAATATCATTAGCCATTAAGAAAATAACAACAAAGCTTGCAATGGCATACAATTATGTGCCACTAGAATAACTATAAAGAAAGTTGACAATACTAAATTTTGTGAGGATAACTAGGCTCCTCATGCTGTGCTAGTGGGTGTGAGAGTACAGTCACTTTGGAAAAAAAATTGGTAGTTTCAGACAACGCAGATGTGCAATTAAAAAGAAAAATTTTCTGGAAATTTCTAAGAAGATTTTTCTCTAATAATTATCCTTATTTAGAAATTACAATTATTGTAAAATATTGTGTTTTATTACTACTCATCAATAATTAAGCTTCAAAGGGAATAAGATCCTAATTGTAAATGGCCAGATATCATCTTGTTCCTGTCTACATTATGCATCTTAAAAGTCCAGTAATTTGCAGTCAAGGAAGCCCTGCCTACAAAACAGATACTTTTGGTTGGTAGGAAATAATTTAACTATCAATAAGAAAAAGGTATAGGAATTCCTGAGAGGTCTTAGGGAGACATTGTTGAAAAATGCCTGAAATAAGCAAGTCCAGTCAAAGATAAAAGGAAATGTGAATTAACATTTCAATGTCTCTTTCTGCAAGCAGAAATGTGGTGGGAAATATGCAGCTCTGTAACACCAATCATCTATATTTTTCAGCATTAAAGCAAGAGGACCAGTTGGAAAGAATACATGCTTTGGGGTAGGTACATATACATATATGTAGTTGGGATGTATACATGCAAATGGGGTTCAGAAGCTAGAATCAGAAGTCATATTCTGTAGAGATTTTGTGTTGGTGGCAGAAGGGACATTATAAAGGAGGGGTATTGGCCTTAAGTGACCCTTCTCTCAGCACCCCCCACACACAGTAGGAATTTCCTGAACCCCTCATCCTACCTGATGCTTGCTACCATGACATGTGCTCTGCCCTAGCTTGTGAAATGATCCTTTTGAGACTCCTTTTTCTTTCCTTTGGCCTTAGTGACCCTTTTCAGCTAAGTATTGGTAGAAAATCAATTGATCATATCAATTCATAAAAACAAATAAAAAGTCCTAATATTCCTAAGAGACATTTCCATTTTAAAAAGTGCAACAGGTCTGGTTGCATTGGTGCATGCCTGTAATCCCTGTGATTTGGGAGGCTGAGGTAGGAGGATCTCAGGTTCAAAACCAGCTTTGGCAACTTAGCAAGACCCTAAGCAAACTTAGTGAGATTGGTAAAAAACTGGTAACTGGTGTAGATAAGATGCCAGAGAAAATAGAGGCTCAGTGAAAGTTATTTTCTTTACCTATTCCTCTGATTCTTTCCTTTGTTGGTCCTTCTTGATGTATGATCTCTTTCAACTAAATCATAGCAAAGTGTGTAGTTGATCCCTGTTCTGTACTCCCTGAACAAGTGGCAAGGTTGAACATCTTCAACCTTCATCTTCAATCTTTCAATAGCCACATTATGGACAGATGATAGGTTCAATGCCATGCTTGCAAGGAATTCCACTCCATGGGTGGAATTGATGGCAACCTGTCATTGACTTGGCTGGCTTTGGGGGGCCTGCCCATTGTTCCTCAATAACATCAGGACCACTCAGCTATCATTAAATTCAGCCTACTGGAGCCAGGCATTCCACCAACTTCTAATGAGTACTGGTTCTAGCTAGTTTCTGGATTGGTGTGGGTCTAGTGTTAGGTGCTGGAGGAAACCAGGTTAATTGGACAAACCAGGGGGCCTTAAAGGAGTACAGTTTGTCAAAGCAAAATTGTCAAAGCTAAATTCTGTCCTTTTACATTTTAATCTCATGGTCTAAGAATAGGAGCAGTAGTTTCAGAGTCCCCTTTGTCAGTACCCAAGTATAAAATTAGCACTCAATTGATCAGGAACACCTTCCACTGCATACAATTTACACCTATGCTGTAGATCAATAAGTACAGCACAGACCCATGAAGATAAGTCTCTCAAACAAAGTTGAGTGCAAACAAGATTATGCCAGTCAATAGTGGATTATGTTTAACCTTTTTTTGTTAACCATTCTTAACTCCAAAGCATGAGGGGGATTAATATTGTCATCCACAGGAAATGGGACCTGAGATTCAAAGGGACTTAATCTAGTCCCTCCAACCAGTGTAGGATGTAACCACTCTCCCAAATGTCTGAAAAGTTTTGCTAAAAAACCTAATTTCTAAATCAGGAAGGCCCCCCCAAAGGACATAGGCAAGCTCTGACTAGGAGTTTTAGTTGGGGAAAAAGAAATTCTAAAGTTAAAAAAAAAATTCCCAATGATGTCCCAGTTATATATTCATTCATTCATTGATTCATTCATTCATTCATTCTATCTACCACTTACCACACCCTCCCCGCCTCTTTCCCTCCCCTCCGTCTCCTCCCCCTCCCTCTTCTACTTCCTACTCCCTCCTCTTCCCTCCTTCCCTCAAGTACTTCTTCCTTAGGAGGACATAGTGTTTCTATCATAACAGATTTGCTGGATCCACCCGGACTTGTCCAGTCGTTCTGTCCTGAGCAGATACAGACACTGTATTTGTTCCTCCTTCCTGCGCCCCGTCAGCTTCCTGACTGCTAGTAGCCCTGGCCTGAGAACTCTTTCCAGAAGTTCTCCCAGGCACACCCGGAGGAGAGGAGGAGAGTTTTTTCCGCAGCCAAAATCTGCTGGGTGAGGGCTGAGCTGGGTGGGACTAGGCGCGGACCCCGTGGCGCAGCKCACAGATCGCGGTCCGCTGCGCCCTCTGACTGCGCTCTCTGTTCCCAGGAGCTTACGGACTTGGGGAGCAGTTACGCCAGGTGGCGTCCAGGTGGGGCCAATGAAGCGCAGCCTGAGGAAGATGCTACGCCCTGGGGAGAAGGAGCCCCAGGACGTAGTCTATCAGGGCGTGGAGGACGACATGGACGAATCCAAGGACTCCTTTAAGGTACCCAGGGCGATCCGCAGTGGGGACCGGTTCCGAAGTCTGGGAGGGGATTGACTGGAGTTTTTCTTGTGGGCAGCGTTTGGATACTGGGACTGGAAGCTGCTAGAGTGGACGGGAGATGCTTGCTTCAGGGTGTGAGCACAATGTAAGTGCCCCTCACAACTGGGGAGCTTGCGGGCAGTGCTCAGAATGCGCCCCCGCAGTAACCATTCCTTTTTCTGTGCGCTTACTTGTTCAACTTGTTTTTGTTGGTGGGCAACTGCAATCTGGGAGCGCGAGCCAAAATGTACCTTTGTCATTTGCCAGAATCGGGGACAGTTTTAAAGTTTGTGCCTTTCGCATGGACACCAAATTGGAAGTTGGATAGCTGTCTAAGAGATTCTTTGGGATTGGGAAGCATTTTTGTCTCATAGTGTCAAGTAGAGAACACCTGGAAATGCCTGAAGGACATCCATGAAATGGAAGGGCAGGATTGGGGGCGGGAAGCACCAGAAAGTCTATGAAGGGGGAGACCTTTTGAAGGTGGGTGGGTGGCTAGGATAGCAGCTACTGTTTATTAAGCAGTTCTCTGGGCTTTTTGATCTAATGCAGCACAAGCTRTCACTTGATGGTACCCTTCTAGTCAGAGGAGTAGAAGCTGTTGGGTTCCAGAAAACCCATCATTATATTTCCTCAGATTGACAGCAGGAGGGAGGGTCTCTTTTGTAATGAGAGGATATCATTTAAGATGGCTTTTCAAATTACCATTTAAACTCCCTTTCCACAGTGAAACTATCTTAACAGTTCCTTACATATTTTTCGGAAAAAAAATACTGATGTTATACAAATACACACATGTTCATATATCTTTTTTATTTGCAAAAGTATGAAGTCACAGAGGTTTATATTTTGAAATACTCATGAAATACATTTTAGTATACAAAATACAAAATCAGCAGTTGAGATTTACCTCATTCTTTTTAGCAGCTTCATGACACTCATTGTATGAATGTATCATGATATATTTAGCCAGTCCTGCACTGATAGACACGTAGGTTGTCTTTGTTTTGTTTTGTATTTTGCTATTACACTTGTGATTGGTTATGTCTGTAAATGTAGATGATCTCTTGGATTATATCTTTGAAGTTAACCTGGGACCAGAAGAAATTTTAAAATTTCAAAAATTATTTATGTAGTTCATTTTCTAGAGATATGTGCTGAAGGATTTCCACAGCCCAGTCTCAATCTTTTCTTCACATTTTTTAAAATTGTCTTTATTTCGTTTTATTGACTAAATAAAGTGGGGTCATTTATGTTATTTAAGGTTACATAAGGGCCTGCAGATCAAGGGATTTAGACATTTTATTTTGCTAACTACAATAATTATAGGACATTCCATAAAAATCTCATTGGATGGACTAATTTCATTGCAACATGTATAACACTGTGGAGAGTTTTGAACTTAGGGGCTTTCTTGGTGGCTTTCTGATTTGAAAGATAGGGCATATAACTTAATTCTCCAATACATATACACAGTGTCTCATGAATGCTAACTAGAGAATCAACCAGGCACACTGGGGAACACCTGTAATCCTGTCTACTCAGGAGGCTGAGGCAAGGGGATCACAAGTTCAAGGCCAACCTTAGCAACTTAGTGAGACCCTGTCTCAAAACTAAAAATGGTTGGGGATGTAGTTTAGTGGCAGAGTGCCCCTGGGTTCAATTCCTAGTACTGGGGGAAAAAATGGAAGGATGGAAGAAAATTTCTAAGATGAGAAATGTAGAAAAACACTGATCAGACTGATGCCTTTGTCTTTTTCAATAAAAAAGACAATAAATACTAATAAATCATTAGTATTTAACCTTTCATTTGTTAAAACTAATCTCTCACCTTAGTTTTCCTCCTTTTTTGCCCCATTACTGCTTATATGTATTTAATTAAAGCAAAATAAAACAAATGAATTTGAAATATCTGATTTAAAAGGTCTAGTTATAATTAGCTTCTCTAAAGTGATCTAGTCTATAATGTACTGAATCCAGTCATATAGTTCAGAATCCAAAAGAGCCTGAAGAGACCCTGCAACAATAGGAAGCAGCATCAAACGAATATGTGATAATTTGTCTAAATGGCATCCTAGGCTTACCTTCAGAGATTTCTTTAAGAAATGTCTTCAAAGCCTGACAACATACCAGATTCTGAATTGAGACTATCCAGTACATCAATAATCCCTTGTGAGCTCACAAGGTAATATTGAATTCACAACCGCAAAACTGTACCTAATGAACTTCCATGAGTACATGAGATGTGCTGGTAGTTCCTGTAAGGATTGTGAAGTTGGGTTTGTGTTGACAGCACATTGCTGAACAGAACCTATAAACTATTCTTTCAGGCACTAGGGTGGGTAGTACAGTATCATCATTCAAAGAACATATCAAATTCAAGTGTAAAACACTTCCATATGGATTTAGGTRTATACTTTTATTTAACAAGTCATGAAATTAAGGAAGAATATTTGATTTATTACTGAATATATGTAAATTTGAAAGCAGGTGCTTATTTTATATCCTGCAGTCACTAAAGATATATATAGTTTATGTCGAATTCAGGGTTTTTTCAAGTTAAAGAGTGACCCATCTTATTTAAGAATCTATAACAGAAGAGTAATTTCTTGAATGCTCACTGTGCTAACAGAAGTTAAATCCAAAGTTAAAAAATATGAGATTAAATTTTTATTTCAACCTGACATTTACTGAATTAATACTAATATACAAATTGTGTTTTTACTAATTATATTAAGATACTTTAATTTAAGTATTTTAGGACTGTTTGATAGCTTTTTTTTTCAGTCATGAGATATTTTCTAGTTATCTTTAAAATAAAAATTGGAGTATGGAGACATATATTATCATGTGGCAAATGTGACCAGTCATAGTCAAAGGTAAAGTAGAGTAAGTATCTGGATCTTTCATCTGGGGGCGTTTCCTGCATTTTCAGAAGATAGTCATTGTATAATGGGTTCCATTGAAAGCTATTGTCTCATAGAACATTTGCTTTGAGTCTATGTAATGAAGTATTCATTAAGAAATAGCTTTGGAAAAATTTTAGACAAATGTTTACTCGGTCACTTCTTTGTAATCTGGAAGTCACATTAAGAAATAATTTTAATTATTATGTAGTCATAGAACTGGAATGAGGTTCTATTAATTTTTCCTTATTTTGCTCTGATTTATGCTAGGCCTCTTTAAACTTAAACAACATGGAGGATCCCAAAGAATGTTTGTCTGATTTATAGCTGCCAATATTTATCATATTAGAAATTGAAGTAGAGAAAAGCCTTAAAAAATGAGAAGGAACAGCACACTCCAGTAAAACAAACCAGTGCTGGGAGTTCCCACACACCTGGGGGACTCCACTGTGGACTGGAGTGAGAGCCAGAGAGGTTGGATGGCAGTGGTTGCTAACACCATCAGGAAGACCTCCTTGCAGGCAGGATTTAGGAGGGCTACAGGAAGCTGGGTGGATTGGGAACAGGAGAGGAAGAAGGTGCCTATCATTCAGGTGAAGAACTTGCAGAGCTCATGGCATGAACACAGCAGCACAGCATGGAACTGCAAAGGCTCAGCTCCTAGAGGTCACCACAGGCCATTAAAAGACACATTTGTCTTTGGCTTCAGCCACAGTTTTGGGCTAAAATCTGCAATTCACTTTTGAATTTGRCTTTGTCTTTGGTAAGCAAATATCAGAATAACTCAATGGCATTTCTAGCCTCTCTGAACCCTATGTGATCTATGATCTCATCATAATGGAAACAATGTGAAATTGTTATCAGTAGGATTAGATATGCCAATCAAATTTATTTATTTATTTATTTAGGGTACCCGGGATTGAACTCAGGGGCGCGCAACCACTGAGCCACATCCTCAGCCCTATTTTTTTTGTATTTTATTTAGAGACAGGGTCTCACTGAATTGCTTAGCACYTCACTTTTGCTGAGGCTGGCTTTGAACTCATGGTCCTCCTGTCTCAGCCTTCCAAGTCTCTGGGATTATAGGTATATGTGTCACCTCACCCAGCCAGATTTATTGATAATACCTAACAACTCACTTTCAAATATAGGTAAGAATTCTAGAAGCAAATTTGAATAAAAATCTTATCAGTCAATTGAAATATAATTACTTTTGTAATTAATGATTTTGAAAATTCTTCATTTTCTGTGTAAGGCAGACATTAAAATCTTTCAAATGATTGAATAAGGAAATATATTGTCAGTGTATTTACGAGAGGATCCAATAGTTAATTTTAGGAAGAACTTCATACACTTTATTACCCCGCATATTTATAAATATTTAAATAGTAATGTAAGGTAGATGATAGAGTCAAGTTTATAACATGAAAACTTTTATAAAAAATTGGTTTGCAATAGTGACCTTAATAGCATTAAATAAAATGGCCTTTAAAGTTTCATTTAACTATTAGTCATTTAATTATGTTTAGGCTATGAGCTTTCTAAGAGAAATCCTATTGGGAAATTTTTCATATCTTGTGAGAATGAATCAAAAGCAGAATGTAAACACTATCACCTAAAAATTTCACAAGAGAGAAACACAGTGTCATCCATGATAAATCATCTCCAGTCTACACATGGTTAACATAAAAAAAAAAAAAAAAAAAACAGAAGTAGGATGTTCAAGAAAGCTCTGGCTCTTCCCCTGACGTGAGTGGAAGTGGCATTTGTTTGGAATTATACATTTACAGACTAGTGACAGCAGGTCTAAAAACCTATTGAGCCTGCCCTTCCAAGTCTGTTCTTAAGCTTTATGATATCTTGTTCCACTGCATTGATTCATTCTATGTTGGTGGTTTTTTTAATCTCACACTCAGCTTCTATTATATATTGATTTTTAACATTTGTCATGCAGCCAAAAATATATTACGCATACCACTTGTCAGGATACTGACAATTGTCCTGGTGCAGTAAAGAAGAGGCATTACATATTCCCTGGGGAAGTGGGCATCATTCTGAATTACTGCTTAAGAGAATCACAAGATAGTGCTGGAGGATGGTTTTAGCTTTGTTCTATAAGGAAACATTGGATGGAGTTTGCCTGTAGGCAGGAAAGCCCAAGAAGACAGTAATTTAGATTCCTGGACTTAATAATCCTTGTATTTATAAAAACCTTTAAATCTAATCTGAATTCTTCATGCTGTAGTTTAAGTACATTTTCACCTGGCAAAGCAAATTCTTCTGTATTTTCACAGTATTTATTATTTGTCAGAGCACATCTCTTAAGTTCACTTCTAAACTTTCTCTAAGGCCTTTATAGCTAGAGCAAATTTAAGTTTACAATAAGGAAAATCAAAACATTTATTTAATGTACTTATCAGTGCTTAGGCATTTGCTTTTCCCTTTTTATGTCTGAGAGCATTTTATATACTTCAGTAAAAAATAATTATAAGTATGATAGTTTGGATAATTGTAAACCTGTTAAAGCTATTAGCTCTATAGTCAAAAGTTCTGCATATTCTTGTTTAAGGTAATGGGTTTTCTTATATCCCTGTAGGTGGTTTTTGAAGGAAATGCACATAGATTACAAAACTTTATCAAGAACCGAAGGAAATTAAGCAAATATGATGATACCAATGCTTCACCTTTGCATCATGCAGCAGCAGAAGGTCAAGTGGAACTGATGAAGACGATCATCAGTGGCTCTTCTTGTGCAGGTAACAAAGTGCTACWGTGAGTGCTCCGTAAACCATCCTCCCACTAGATTGCCTGGGAAGAGTGGTATGAAGCAGTTCTACAGGGTAGATTCGTACCAGAATGAAMGATGCTGAAGAACTGTCACCTTCTGGAGTGTTGGTTTCCTTGCAGATGTGTGCTGTTCAAAACTTTCCACTAAAACACCGTAAAAGGAGAGTAAACACATCTGGGACACACACCACAAATTCAAACTTTCTTTGATTTTGGGGGCAGATCATAAAAATTCATGTACATTTTATGAACCTTTCTATGCTACTTCAGAAGATGTTATGTATTCTACACTTAAATTAATCATTGAATGAAACTGACCCTTCAAAAAGAGGGGCCATCTCCTTCTCTCCGCCTGACACCTGGCTTTGTGTGAGAAGTGCATCTGTAGGCAATGACTGAGGTGGATGCTTAAGCAGTGAGATGGTATCATAAGACCTTCRCTGTTGTGGAAAATGGATTAGTAGAAGTCTTGTTAAAAATCTATTTTTGCCTAAAGGAGAAAGAGAGGTTAGAGTAAGGAAAAAGAGAGAAATTCGGGAGATATGTGTAGGTCCACAGTGCTTGACAACAGGTGGAGCTTGAGGASTAAGCGGGAGAGACTTTGACACTCCTAACTTAGAAGATGAATCTAACAGTATAACCAACTCAAAAAGGGGGTTATGACTAAACAGAAGAAACGTGAGTATGAGAGTTTGCGGAGATATTGAACAGCCCAGGGGACTGCCCCTTGGAAAGATCCAATAGTTAATAGAAGGAAAGAAGTCACCYCTGTGCAGCCGTTATTATAGGAAGTAGATGAGACTGTGGAAGTGAATGAATACACTTCAAGAGACCATAGATTGCTAGTGAAGGTAGCTAAGGGTAGAGGACCAACTGTAAGTGACAGATGGCAAAGGAACTGCCAGAAAAAGGATGAAGAGGGTGATGGATGTAAGATTGATGATACACAGGCCAAGGGAGAAGTTATTAAGATGGATGATACAAGGATCAATAGCTCCAAAGAGTTCAAGTAGGAAGGTGATTACAAGAAAGCCCTTGTATTAGAAGGCCCCAGTGACCTGGAAAGTGGTGCCAATGTTCTGAAAAGTGGTGAAGATAAAAGCCAAATTYAAGATATTTAGTTAGTGAGTAGCACTTTGTAAGCAGAAACCCCTGTTAATTAAGTTTGCTGAATGGAGTGCTCCATCTCGCTCCGACAGAATGTTCAAGAGATGTGCATGAGTGWGTAACTCTCAGGGTATGGAAGAGTGTGTGTGTGTGCCTGAGTGTGTGTTTTTGAGAGTGAAGCACTTTGATGAATGAAAGGAGATATTGGAGAGAGACAGGAAATACAGCTGCACTGTGGTTCCAGATATTATCGACAGTCCCTAACTCATATTTATGAGTGAATCCTTTTTTTCCTCCCCAGACATAAGGATATTCTGCCAATGATTAAAATAGTTGATAAAGCAGATAGCCATGTTTATTTTACAATAGYTACAAGGCACTGCAGGAATGAAAGGGAATATTATTCTTAAACTCACAGGGTAAATAGTACTATTTATTTTATTGTACAAATATGTGAAAACTGCAGCATCAGGAGCTTAAGCTCAAATTCTCATCTTGTTAACTTGTGGAGAATATGTTTTCTTATTAACATGTTTGGAAACATCACCATAGGTCAGGCATTCTACTAAGACCTTTAAAGGCATGATTTAATATTATTGTCCCAACAACATTGCAAGATGTCTCTGTGTCTGCGTATTTTATTTTTACCAACTTTGACTATGAGAAAGCTGAGGTTCAAAGAGATAATATGAACTCCTCATTAGCTGTGGTGTTAGCAAGACTTTCAACCTCTCTAGGTTTCAGTGACTTCATTTTTTTTGACAATTGGTCTTCGTGGTACCTCACGGGCTATTGGAGGCTACAGTGAAATCTTAGTCSTATGGAATCCAGTTGATCCTGTTCTATGGTCCCTGCTCTTATGTAATCTCAATGTTTACCACAATCCTAAAATTTGTAAACATAAAAACATGTAGCAATAAGATCCATTTCTTATGGGCCCTATAGACAGAAATTWAATTWAATTAATTAATTAGTCAATTGATAGAGTCAGTGCCATGCTTTCATATGTTCCCTAAAGGTGGCCCTTAGAGGTTTCTTGAGAACTGAAGCTACATTTTCRTTTCTGATAAAGAAGCTAACAGCCAATTATAGTAGCACTTTGGCACAGTCCAAGCAAAATTTAATGCATGTTTTGGTATTTTTTTTYCCCTAGTGTTGAATGTAATGGACGATTATGGAAACACCCCTTTGCACTGGGCTACAGAAAAAAACCAGGTTGAAAGTGTTAAGTTTCTTCTCAGCCACGGAGCAAACCCAAACCTCCGAAATGGCAACATGATGGCGCCCCTTCACATAGCYGCTCAGGGCATGTACAACGAGATCATAAAGGTGAGCCTGCTCTCCCTCTCATAGGGGTGTCAGAGCAGGGACTGGCATCAGATCCAGCTTTCTCTGCCTGGGCCAAGTGGCCAACCTAAACTTCAGGGCCAATGAAAGGTAATGACCACTGTGRTTACCTCTCACCACCTGGTGCTGATGGTGGTGGTGGAGGTGAGAGTGATAGTCTTCTCTTAATTTACCAAGCATTTTTTTTAACAGATTTGTGTTTTAATTTCTTAAGTCCTTATTACAAAAAATTATACATTATTAGTATCTCCATTTCATAGCTGAGGAAGATGAGTCACAGACAGAATTAACTAACTTGCCTAATGTCACATAACTGCTGAAAGCAAGAATTAGGACTTTGGTTCTCATCTTGAAGTACCCAAGCTCAGGCTTTACCATTCGCACCTCATTAACTAAATGACTACAAGAAAGAAGCCCGTAAGTGTGAAAACAGAAACCTTAATTATGAGGTGCTGTTTTGTGAGGGTGAGTGGCCTGCCTCAGGATTAGCTAGCAGAAGACACAGGCTCCTCTTGGGGAATTATTCTTGTTTTTCAAGTCTTGACAGTGAGTTTGCTGAAAAAGAAGAAATCCCGGTAAGTGCCTAAGGGTGAGATTTAGRCCAAGCATTTTTTTTCCCCCTCTCTGCGGGATATTGAACCTGGGTCCTTGGTGTATGCTGGGCAAACAGTCTACCACTGAGCTACACCCCCAAGCCCCAGGCCTTGGCTTTTCAACTACAGTTCAGAATCTCACAGACACACCGGAAAGCAAGCATGCTTCCTAAAAGAAGAATGCCTTAAAAGGATCATGTCCTACAAGTTAATTTCGAAGGTAGGTTATTTGGAACTTGAAATACATTTTCCCAGGGAGATGATATTGAAGATGCYAATCTGGCTATTGCACTAATCTACACCAAAGCCTAATTGTCTACAAATCACCAAAGAGATCTCTTTTTAGCACGAAATTTCTTCTCTCAGTCCTCTGAGAGCCTGGCATACAGGGAGTAAGGGATTCTCCCTTCCTACTTCCCGCTATTCCTGATTTGGAACTCTGCACATGATGTTGTCATGAAATGTTTGTATGCTTTTCTTCCTCACTGGCTAGTTATTCTTGAAGGAGGGAATGTGTCTTAACCATCTAAATGTCTCCAGCCCTCAGAACTGTGCTGGTCCATGGTGGGAGTTGAATAAACAATTGAATGAAGAAGTAGAGGAGAGAACTAAAGTACTGGTACCCCTGAAGGGGGTTGAGGCAGCCCCCTGAGGAGGTTATTARAAAGGTCTCTGGCAACAGCCTGTCCAGTCTTCTTAATATCTACATTATTCATGAGCCTGGTGCTGCCTCCATGTCTTCCACATTGGGCCACTTGTGACTCCAGAGATCCCCCAGTGGTGTCACACGTTTCCTCCTGGAACTCTTATGCTTTCTCTGAAGGCTCTTTTCAGAAACAGATGCCCATTAACTTAATTAATCTTGACTCTAAAAGAATGACTTGGGAATTCAAAGGCAGGTAGTAGTTGAAAGCTATTGTTAATTAGAAAAAGAAAGTTTCAGACCAACACATACAGAAAGGTACGTATAGCATGGAAATAGAAAAGAAAGTTCAGAAGTCAGTCCACCCCGTCATTGATTTATAAACTAGATGTAGAAATAAACCAAATTTTCCTGGGTGGCACCATAATAGAAGAAAAAWAGGATCATAGGAAAGTTGAAATGCTCTCTCCCATACTTAGTCTTACCAGCCACAATTATGGCCTAAAAATATTTTCAAACCCCTCTAGTTTATCAGAGACAAGAGGAGGAAGAGTTTGGAGTGTTTCCTTGAATTCTTATGAACTGCAGTCCTCCCAGCCTGCCTCTCCCGGTCATGCCCATGGGTCTGGCCTGCACCCACCCAGCCAGCCATGGCCAGTTTAGAAATCTCCTTCACTCTTCCACCAGCCTTCCCCACACTTTTTACCACTGCTTATATGGTTGTAAAGTAAAAAGTTGTCATCAATATATTACCTCAAATTCTTCCATAGACAGTATAATATTTTCTGGGGTCTCCTGGCCCAGGGATTAGGAGGTAGCCATATTTCTCAATGGTCTTCATCCTTGGAGCCTGAACTCAAAAAACAGCCAGTTGTTTGAAGCTCCCACAAGGCTTCCTGGATTCTTATTATAGGAACCTCAGAGAGCTCACTTGCCAACCTCCCAGGCTTGCCTGGTCATGACTGCATTGAAGTGGGTGCACAGTTGAGTTTCTCTCTCTGGAGCTGTTACAACATATAATTAACAGATTTTTGAAATAACGCTTATGATAGTACGATAGTAATGTCCTAATAAATGCTGCAAACTTGTGATTCTAAGAGGGCAAAGAGAAAAACAATCTCTTCCGGTAGAGTTTAGAGTGTTTTTTTATATGTGAATATAGCACTTCTTAAGAATAGAATGTAAAGGTGCCTATTGTCCATAAAGTAAACTTTTTAAAATCTCATTTCCCTTCATCCATCAATAATTCCCCTCTGTGTTCTTGTGGACCAAAACCTTTAATTTTCTCATATGAGCTGAGCTTATTAGTAATTCATTTGCTGACACTCACATTGGGCAGATTCTATTAAAGAAGGGACTCTAGTAAGAGGTTGGGTATTATTTTAAGCAAGTCAATGTTTTTAAGAAATAACTTATTGAATAAGTTTAAAAAAACAATGTAATTATGAATCTATGTCATAGTTTTATTTTGGTGTTACTGGAAGAGGAAAGGCCTCTACTAGGTCAGTTAATAAATTTCTGTCTTGAGAGAAACCCTTATATGAGACAACTTTTGTTAGTTTTAATATGAAAATAAAGGCTGGTTAAAGATCTATAGATATGGCCAGTATTACAGTGTTACAGTTGCAGTCACCAGGTGAGTAAGGGACAAGTCTTCAATTAAATTCTATCAGAAAAATTACTGGACCATTTTATTGGGCTCCTAACTTTTTATATCATAGAAAAAGTCTCTATTCCAGACCAAAGATRAATTGATTGAGTTGTTGTACTCATGTGTTACATGGTGCTTGCTTTTCTCTACTGACAAGAATGGAATTTTCTTTGACATTTCCCAGAATTCTTGCAATTGAGGTAAAAGAATAATGATGAGGGGAGAAAGAAACTATTCCTGCCTCCCTCTYTTCTTCTCTCCCCCCTTCCTTTTCTCCTATGCACGTATTCCAAATAGCTCCATACATTTATTTATTGAAAATATTAGTTAATGGGACTCACTTCAATTGAGAAGTAGTAAGACTGTGTTAATTATTTAAAATTGTTATTTAAAATTCTGTTTCCAATTCCACAATTCAATATTGTCTTAATGGATGTGATATTAAAATAATTATTTTTTCCTTTGATAAAAGAATATCCACTATGTGCAAGATTTCATGCCAGATCATGTGGAAGGGAGATGAAAAAAAGATAAGACATGGTCCCTGTAACGAGAGACCTTAGAATCAAGGGGAAGACAAGTCCTTATTTGGAAATATATAATTTTGCTTTTTGACAGTTTTTCTCCTCTTTTGTGTAGGTCTTGACTGRGCACAGAAGTACTAATATTAATTTAGAAGGAGAAAATGGAAACACAGCATTATTAACCACATGCGCCAAGGATAATAGTGAAGCACTGCAAATTTTGGTTTGTGTATTAATCATATTTTGCTTTATCTTTTCATGAATATGACATGAATTATTGTTAGTTATAGCAGCTCTTTATTGTCTATCCATCTTAGCAAAATATAAAATATAGAAAAGAGGTTGGGAAAAAAACCCTAGTTCTATATGTGTTTTTATATGTGTGTACACTCCTTAGATTCTAAATGGACCTGATTACTTACAGGAGACTAACATTAGAGCATGAAAGAAAAGGTGAGAAAATTGAAGTGAAAAGAAATACAGGCAGGAAAATTTAAGATGAAGTTGATGGTCCTACTAGAATATAGAATACAAAGTATAGCAGCCTATATATTGATAAAGACAGTCAGACATTTGACTTTGACTTCCAATGGGAAAAAGGGAAAATGTATAAGGTCAATTCCAGATTGATTTGGTCCATAAGATAAAAGCTATGAGAAATACAGCATTCTTGTTCCCAAGACCAGAAGAAAAATTGTTGCCATGGGTTCTCAAAGGGGGATCCCTGAGTGTTTTAATGACTAAAGGTCCTTGGTGGGAGCCACAGTCCTGTGTACAGAGCCAGCTTTCTCTCTGYCAAGGGTTCCTGGGGTGGTCCAGTGAAATGCTAAAGATGTCTGTCTTTCAAATATTCCTTAATTACCTGCCTGATATCCAGGCCAGGTTCTATATTTTATCAATTGATTTTGCCTTGTCACCATTATAGAGAATAATATAATAAAATTTAAAATAATTTTGAAATATTTTTCTGATATTGAGATGCACAAGTATGAGTTAACGTATTTACTACATGTACTTAGAGCATAGAAGGTAAGATGATTAAAACAAAAAGAGAATAAATAAAAAAGAGAATCAAATTAAATAAAATCACACTCAAACCAAGAATTTAGGAAAAAAATCTTTAAATAAACCAAAAGCAAATAGTAATAACAAAATAGTAAAGTTGAAAACACTTTAGAAAATAATGTGTTTAAAATCTTATTTTTTTGCAAATGTAATTTTTAAGTGTATACTATGTGGTCATATTGTTCAAAAAATTTTTACTTAACATATTGCTTAATAATATGATTTGATGAACTATGTCTTTCATTTTGTGGTTTACAAAATTTTATGTATAAATACATAACTTTATTTAAATTATCTTTAGAAGGCAAGATCACAGGTATTTGCTTCTCCCACATTTTAAAAGCTATTTTATAATGTAATGATAAGAGATGCTTAAAACAAAATTGAAGTTCAATGACTTATAGAAAATGGTACTTGAAAATGATTGGCTCAGACTAAAAGATATAATATTAGGGCTGGGGTGTGGCTCAGTGGTAGAGTGCTTGCTAGCATGTTGGTCCTCAGCACCACATAAAAATAAATAAATAAAATAAAATTATTAAACAGAAAGTTTTTTTAAAAAAAGATATAATACAATATTAAATTCTTCTAACATCTTTTTAGAAAGCATCTTCCTTAGTGAAAACTACCTGATTTTTATGACTTGATAAGAATATTGGTGTATTATTTATGAATCTTTATCTACCTTTTCTTGTTTCTTTAGTTTTTTTTTAATTAATTTTGCATAAAGGAAGGGAAAAGAATCTGGACAATATTATCACTTTGTATAAGAAATTGATAATGAGAATAGAAGTTGTGAAAATGTTTTAAAAATGTGCTGACCTTTCCCACCCATGTCCTGCCTGGGTGGTGGGATTGGGGTTCTCCTTGGTGGAATGGGCTGATTGAGAAATAAAAGCTAGGAAAAATGGAACTGTGAGAAAACCACAGAACACAGAATGTAGTTTTAAAAGTGGGGGCAGGATGGACAAGCTGACCAGAGGGATCCAGTCTCTGACAAAATAAAGCTCACACCTGCTTTGTTTGTATCAGGAGACATCAAAGAGACTGTAGAATGTTCTTTTCCATAAAAGGTTAAAGGTGGGCTGTTCAATTCCTAGGGTCATGCCCAACTCCAGTGCTAYTATGAGGAACCTTTCTAGCAGAGCCAAGGGAAAGGTCATGTGCATTGGGTGATCTGTCACCACAGAAGAGCTGCGGGAAGTTCCCAATGCCAGGCCTGTCCCTCCCTGGCTTCCAGAGAGAAGGTCCTCATGTGTTTCACGGATGGCTTCCTGCAGACTTTGGTTTGCTGGGAAATCAAGACCAATATTTCTGTATCTTGGTGTTACTTCATCTTTGGAAGACATGAAGTATCTCTATTTCAGAATCTTAGCTTAGTTCCCAAATTGCCTTTTTGCCTAGACTTTATATCACATGAAGGCTTTTGTATATTTTTGAATATACCCTGAAGAGTGAAACAGCCTGAAGAACAGAAATTCTTGTCTACCCCTGTGATTTGTTGGTTAACTTGTGTAATTGACTCCCCCACTACCCCTTTTCTTTTTTCAGTTAAATAAAGGAGCTAAGATATGTAAATCCAATAAATGGGGAGATTTCCCTGTTCACCAAGCTGCATTTTCTGGTGCCAAAAAATGCATGGAAATAATATTAAAGCATGGTGAGTGGAGGCTTTTCTACCTTCTGTATGATAAAGAAACCTGTTCTGTTAAACACTATTAATTTGAAAAACATTTAATAGAATTTACGCATAGCCTTTTATGTAAGTCCAAAAGTCCTTTCTTTTAAAAAATTGTATTATTTCAAATATTCCTCTCGAATGGCATTTTCTTCTACAGGTGAAGAACATGGATACAGTCGACAGAGTCACATTAACTTTGTGAATAATAAGAAAGTCAGCCCGCTCCACTTGGCGGTTCAAAGTGGAGACTTGGAAATGATTAAAATGTGCCTGGACAATGGTGCACACATAGAACTGGTGGAGGTACTTGTTCACAGTCTAAATTATACTTTTATTTTAGGATTGTTATAAATATTTTCCAAAATGCTTTATAGTTCTGTTAAAGTCAATTTAGATTGAATACATATATAGCAGAAAATAAATATTATTTCCTTATATCCATTGCAGAGAATCCAGAAGAGTATGTCCCCAAATTTTTATTGGTAAATTGCAATATGTCATTAACATTTGCAAATACAGATACAGTAAAGAGGATATCCAGTCTAACTGCCATTAAACATGTTAAGGCCTACCCTCAAAGATAATACTATGTTCCTATTGTCATGTTGGAACGTTAAAGTCCTGCCATGAGTGTTTTTGGTTAGAGTGCTATTCTGAAGAGTACTCTCTTTTAACCAGGGACCACCTAATTTCTAAGGATAAGTATGTGAAAAAGTGTTGACTGCATCTGGGTTCTGACTTTATGCCAGGCATGTTTGATTAAAAGATACTTAGGCCTTTTTTTCTTCTATCTCTTGGGTTTTGGGTGACAACACCCTCCACTCCCAACTACCTCAAAGACTTGTCCTCTCTGGTGGAAGAGGAGATTAGTGAGTAATCTTATACAACTTCTGGACACTGCCCCTAAATCTCTTCAATATAGAAATGAGGAGTTGCCACTGTTGGTATGGGGTTGGAAGTCACTCTGTATACTGGGTGCTTACAACAATGGATACGATGAGGTCCTCATGCTCCTGGGAGAAAGAATGGCATTCAGACAATGATGRCGGTAGTATATGCCAAGAACTGTCAGACTGCAAGGAAGTAAGATTGCTAGCTATAATTTTTATACTGATACTTTTCAGTAGATGCATCTGAGAATGATTTATCTTCATTAATTTGACATTCCTTGATTTGGGGAGAAGAAACTCACAGCTGACTATATATTCTTGAATTAAGGTTTAAACACTGATTCTGGTATCAAAACTCTTTATAGAATGGGAAGTGCATGGCCCTTCATTTTGCTGCAACCCAAGGAGCCACTGAAATTGTTAAATTGATGATATCATCTTATTCTGGTGACAGCAATATTGTTAATGCTCTTGATGGAAATCGTGAGACCCTGCTTCACAGGCAAGTTTCCTATTATCCTATGTATAGATGCCAACTAATTCTATCAGAGAGTCTATCCAGATTCTATCAGAGACTCTGGGATGAACCTCAGGACTATTTAAAAATTTTTTTTTTACTCTAATGTTTAGTTAATTTGGAAACACAATGACTTGAGTATAGTTAAAAGTATCTTTGGAACACAACTTCAATATGCCAATATGCCTAAGAAGAAATTATTTTAGGAAAATGAACCCCTATTAAGTTATTAAATATAATTAGTACATTTTAAATGTCATGAAATCACTTGTGAATTTTTGGTGAAAATCAGCAACCTGATTCTGAAATTTATATATAAAGGGCAAGAACAGCTGAGATAGTCTTCAATAGGAACATAAAAATGAGATGAGTGATGGGAAACAAAGTTTTACAACACTAGTATCAACATTTGTTATGGCAGTGCTTTAATATGGATTAAAAACTTCTATTAATTAAAAATATTAATGTGACTACTTGTGATATCTTATGAGAATAACTTCAGTTCTCTCTACAAATATTTTAAGTTTCATGAAAAATAAGGAAAACTAATGCTTCTTTGTTAGTTTTTGTCAAAGATGAGCCCTTCAAGGTGTGTGTGTATGGGGGATCTTTTGAACTCTGAAAGTGAGTTTTAGGTACATCTTGCAAATTTCTGATAACCAATTATACATTTCAAAGGTTACCAGTTTTTTAACACTATATATTCTTATTTAATGGCCACTTAAATCCACTTTCTAAATGTGCTAACTTTATTTTATGTATTTATATTAATATTACCTTACTTCTCTTTTTGCAGAGCCTCATTATTTGATCACCATGAACTAGCAGAGTACTTAATTTCAGCGGTAACTATTTAACAAACAAGTTTATTTTTTAAATTACTGTTTACATATGAAAATCATATAATTACATAGTAAGGATTTCCAAAAATAAGCCACATTCTAATTTCTTGTTTAGCAGCAAAGAAAAGTTTTTAGAAGGATTATGAACTTTTGCAACTAGGGTATATTATATATGAATACAAAACAGCCAAATTTCATTACCATGAAGTTAGAAAGACTGAAGTGTGGTTTTTGATGCCTGTACCAATGTTTTTCATGTGTGGAGTTTGTCATGTGAGCTCTTTGTTGGTCTGTGAATCAGTCCTCCTGAGGCCTTAGGAAACGTAGCTGGCCTTTCTTCAGCACTGGGGGCTTGAAGGTGAAGCAGGACAGGCATCCTCTGTCACTGTCACCTTTCATTCTAAACTTCTGCCCCCACTGCCTTGGTACCACCTTTCGATCCCTGAAGATGCAGGAATTGAAAAATCCTGTTGAAGATTTATTGMAAAGAAAGCAGGAGGTCTTTTTCATTCCCAGCAGTGGAGTCCATGAGGTTCTGGATGAATGTGTAGTGGGTTTATTGAAGTCCCATCATGTCAGCCATGAACGTACTTCTACTTGTAGAATTTGGTGTGTCATGAATAGTAACTACTACAGTTGTGATATTCATATGAAGAATCCTGAAAAGCCTCCTTAGATACCATTGTTTTATGTCACCTGTGGTTTTTTTTCAAAAATGAAGGCTGGCATCTTTGCCTGGCAAGAGAACTGTGGTGGACACTCACCCAGCACTATGAAGCTTTCAAAGGGAATGTACTGCCACTGCAGCTACACTCAGCAGGTCCTGAAAGAACAGGGACATGTCCACAGTTGGATTTTAAGCTATTTTTATTACCCTATCTAAAGTATAGAATTCTCTCCATGAAATAGTCAAAGATCCTTTGTCTCTTGCCCTATCAAATATTGTAACAAACAGTGATTTTTTTGTTGTTGTTGGAGGGGAGTACAAAGGATTGAACCCAGGGGTGCTTAACCACTGAGGCACATCCCCAACCCTTTTTATATTTTATTTAGAGACAGGGTCTCACTGAGTTGCCTAGGCTTTGCTAAGTTGCTGACTTTGAACTCACAATCCTTCTGCCTCAACTTCCTAAGCTGCTGGGATTGCAGTTGTACACCACTGCATATGGTACAAACAGTGATTTTAAATTATAAGGGTTTTCAAATAAATGTTTGTCTAAAATTTTACTTTAGAAATTTTGATTCAGTTATTTTGTTTTATTTCAAATGGAGTAGATGCTTTTTAAAAATGTTTTCTTGTGAATGGTCTTAAATCATATATGTGATAAATTTTGGAAGATGTTTAAAATCATGGAGATTTAACAATAATGTCTTACTGTGGGAAATAAACTGCTACTGTTGTCAKAGAATTTTATCTTTAGGGCTTAGACAGTAATAGATCTATTGCCAGATGTCAGCCAAAGCCTAACATGTGAGAATTATTTCATTGTTGAGTTTATGAAAGAATGCCTTGATGTTCTGATGTGGATTATAGGGAAATGTAAAATAATCTTGTGATCAGTCACATGCTGGCTGTAATATAGACACTCTATCCCAATGGATTAATATTATTTACAAATGGCAATGTAAGCTGATTTGTCTGTTACAAACCCTTTGTTGAAAGACTTGTTTCGTTTTAGGGAGCAGATATCAATAGCACTGATTCTGAAGGACGCTCTCCACTTATACTAGCAACTGCTTCTGCATCTTGGAATATTGTGAATTTGCTGCTCTCTAAAGGTACCAAGAGGGAGCAAGCCAAGCCTTTGGAACCAGTACTTGATTTGGTTAGAGTACTTGACAGGCACTTGACAGGGAGCTGGGAATACAAAGATAAGTACACTGTTATGGCTAGAATCATTTTCAGTCTGGTGAAGGAGCAATATTTGGAAAGGTAAATTCGGAACAAACATTTAGAAGGCAACTGTTTCACACCAGGTTTTTGTCAAATATTTTATCAGCTTTCTCTCAGTGAGTCAGTCCCGTATGGTTGTGGTACTGTAGTTAACCTYATTTCTAGAAAACATTGTCTATAAGTTTAAGGAATGGTAGCTATCAACAATACAAACAATAATAAAATTCTGGAGAGGACGTGGAGAAAAATGAAAAACTTACATTGTTGGTGGGATTGTTATTAGTATAACCACTGGAGACCAGTATGGAGGCGCCTCAAAAGACTAGGAAAGGAACCACCATGTAACCGAGCTGTACCACTCCAGGCTATTTATCTTGAAGAACTGACTTCATGATACCACAGAGATACAAGCACACACATCTCTGTAGCTTCACAATTCACAGTAGACAACTGTGAATCAGCCTAGGTGTCTATCACCTAGAAAATGTGCTATAAACACAAAACAAAGTTTTACTCAGACATATAAAAATGAAATTATATCATTTGTAGGAAAATGGGTAGAACTTGAAAACATTATGTTAAGCAAAATAAGTCAAACTTAAAAGGTCAAGGAGTGTATGTTTTCTCCCATGTGGAAGCCAGGGAGGAAAAAGGAAAACAAAGATGTAAGGGGGTTGTCTCCAGAAAGTGAAAGGGAGATCAGTAGAGCACAGGAAAGTGACGGTGGGAAGGGAGAAGGGAAGGAAGGGGAAATACGGAGGAACGATATTGGCCAAATTATATGTTACATTGTGTGTATGTACAGATATTTACAGTGAATTTCACTATATGGATAGCTATAGTGCACCAAAAAATGGAAAAAATAAAATAAAATAAACATATTAAAATTAAACATAAAAATAAAATAAAATAAATTAAAATTAAGGCATTAAAAATCTCTTATTAAGTAAAGAATTCACCATAGGACATGCATTAAATAAATGAATAGAATTTATATTTATACCATGTCTTTTAGGTGCTAGAGTAGACATAAAGGATCATCTTGGACGTAATTTTTTACATTTGACTGTTCAGCAACCTTATGGATTAAAAAATTTGCAACCTGAGTTTATGCAGGTAATATATGACTATGGATCGTCAAAACTGAATTATGTTCAATAGAGAGTAAACTAATGGTGTTTATTATTATTTTTATTGTTATAAAGACTGATTCTAGGATTAGAAAAATGTCTTTAAATAAAGATGTTATGTTTGAATATCTATTTTTATCATGGTAAAGGTAAGGAGATGTGTGATGATGATAATTACCTATAATACATAGACATATGTAATTTGCAGGAATCCATCTGTGAATTACATGAGCATCTTCTCTCAGTGTGGTAGCCAGGGAGATTTAGGTTTGGCATTGCAAACTATCCGTGGTTATCCCAAGGCAATAGATTGCCCAATGCACGTTACCTTTATCTCTGTTCTATTAGGAAGATACCTCATACTAGCTCCGGAGATGGGCATCATTGGGAACTGAACAGCCCACCTTTAACCTTTCTAAGAGAAGAACATTCTATGGAATGCCTTTGATGTCCCCCAATATAAATAAAGCAGGCACAGGCTCCATTTTCCTACAGTATAGAGGCTCGATCTGTATGATCGGCTTGCCTGTCCTGCCTCCACTTTTGAAATTATTTTCTATGTCCTCTGTTTTTTTCGTCATTCTATTTTTCTTAGCTTGTATCCAAGCCAGCCCATTCCACTGAGGGGAGCCCCATTTCCACTGCCTGTGGGGGATGCGGGTGAGAATAATTGGTCATGTTTTCTTCAATCTTCCACCAGTATGAATTGCATATCAGTGGAGAGGCCAAGTATGTGAGTGAACTAACCATAGTCATCAGCAATGAAGAAAACTATGAAACATACTTGACTCACTGATGACAAGCCAAAAGCATGATCCCCATATTTATATTAGCCAACTAATATTTACTGAGTGACTATTAGATTTATGTGAAGTGTGCCATATTTTTACAATAGACAGATTTTCAGATTGTCATTGACTTTAATAAAGAATTAAGAATATATATATATATAATTTGAATATTTTAAGCAAAAAATAACAAATATGCTTAATGATTGGATGAAATGTCTTAATTGCCATTGTTTTTTACTATAAAAGAACATATGAAGTTCTATTTTTAACATCCTATCCCTTTTTGCCCAACATAACACATTAAACTCTTATGTGTTCTTTGGGGAAACAATAAAAAGAGGCAGAGAGGGAAGTGTGGTCAAATATGTCAGGAAAACGTTGATAAAACTCTTATTTGCATTTTCCTACTTTTAGGACTTCTTAGAGCCTTTAATTTGGCAACATTGGTACATTATAAAGTCATAGAGCATGAGAATTCATCCATCTTTAATTTGCTCTCGTACCCTTAATGCTGTTTATAATTTTTTCCTTGAGGAATATACATTGATCCTTTTTAGAAAATACTATGCTATGGAATAGTTGGCAAAATTCTGCATTAGCATAATAGTAGAATTATATGTTAAATGTGTTTTTTTTCCATAGATGCAACATATCAAGGAGCTGGTCATGGATGAAGACAATGATGGGTGTACTCCTCTACATTATGCATGTAGACAGGGGGTCCCTGTCTCTGTGAATAACTTGCTTGGTTTCAACGTATCCATTTATTCCAAAAGCAAAGATAAAAAGTCACCCCTGCATTTTGCAGCCAGGTGAGGGTCAGTCTACACAACATGTAAGTATATCTTCTTTCTGTTTAACATCCACTTTGAAAATATGAAACCTATCTTTTTCAAGTTATGGGCGTATCAACACCTGTCAGAGGCTCCTACAGGACATAAGCGACACGAGGCTCTTGAATGAAGGTGACCTTCACGGAATGACCCCTCTCCACCTGGCAGCAAAAAATGGACATGATAAAGTGGTTCAACTTCTTCTGAAAAAAGGTGCATTATTTCTCAGGTGAGGCCATATGACTGGAACGTTCATATGTTCTTTGTAATTAGTCGTTTTCAAACTGCTTTTCTGGTATATATTAGTTATGGTATCTAACTTTATATCTCACTAACTAGTTTTACTCATCTGACTAAATCCTCAAAATGTATAAAACTTCTCAAATATTAAAAGGGAGTTCAGTATTATTCTCAGTTGACACATGAAGACTTTGAAGTTTATAGAGTTGTTGCCATTTCTGAGAACCTCTGAAATACATTTCCTCATATTTTACTTTATCATGTTGCTGTCTACTCATGCAGATACAAAACTACATTTGTGTAGGTGTGTGTGCATGTAAATTTATGCACACACAAACACAAAGCCATACACATTCAAAGGACTTACTTTTCATTCAACCTAATAAATGATGGGCATAAAAATTGAGAATAGCAAACATTAAGAGTGAACTGAATGAACCTCATTATACTTAAAGGAAATATAACACAAGGAACAAAACCAAGTCAAAATATGTAAGTATCATAAGATATGTGCCATGACATCTTTGTAAAAAAAAAGAAAACCTGGAAACATTTACAGAGGTTTGGTGAGCTATCTTCTATTTTCACCAAAGTTGTAGGTAGCAAGCAGCTCATTAGCCCAATGTTTCAAAGCACATCTCTTCATTAGAAGACGGATGCTGGCAAATTAGTGTCATAGTTCTAAACTGAATAGTTTGCTCAGTTTCTTCCTATTTTCAAGGGACATTGAGTGGCAGGTATGGAAAGGGGACCCAAGTGGACCCAAGCCAAGATTTGTTTCTTAATTATATCATAACTGACATAGCAAGGTGACTCTTGCACCTTAAGATAGCTGCTTTTCAGCACTACAATTAAATTGTGTCAGGTTTTTTTCCCTGTATCTAATGTGGGAAAGTACTACTAATATGACAAGCATTCATCATATTTATGTCTTGAGTTTCTGTGAAAAAGGACAAACATTTTCAAAGGGATTGAGTGAGCATCTTTGATAGCACAGAGGATACAGACCTAAATGCTCAGAAGCATAAGTGAAACTAAGCTAAGAATGTTAGGATCATGTGCAATAGTTATGGACTATAAATACTAATACCACCATCATGGAGCATTTTTTGGATCAGTGTTCAAGGAAACAAGATTGAAAATACTATGTATGAGCATATTATATTTTTGAAAAATTATGTGGGATGGAGAAATGCTAATGGTGTCCTCCACAAGTATTTGGTGATATGTTTTATCATTTATATTTTATTCCACTAACTAAAATATCATGTGAATCACATTACAGATAGAGTGTTTAAGACCACTGGGCTTCAAATTTATCTCATATGTGATATTCTAAATATTGAGTCACTAGATCTCAATTATGCTTTTGTCATCACATCCACTGATGATGAACCCAGTGGCATCCTTCCCACATGTCATTGATACAGAGCATGTGTACATGTTTTTTCTTGACTCTCCAACAGTGACCACAATGGCTGGACGGCTTTGCATCATGCTTCCATGGGTGGGTACACTCAGACCATGAAGGTCATTCTCGATACCAATTTGAAGTGTACAGACCGGCTAGATGAAGAAGGGGTATGTCTTGTTTTCCTCTTGCCAGCTTAAAATCTTGATATAGAACAACACTCTGAAATTGCAGGAAAGCCATATTCTTAGCTATGCTCTATCTCTAGCCTTTTAATGAGTTTTTAACAAATAAGCTCTTGGAGTGAGGAGTGAGGACAAGGGGAACAGAAATAGAAGGGCACTAAACGGTGGGTGCATGTTAAGGCCACTCCTCCAGTGTCACAGAAACCTATCCAGGGCCACTGTGGTCTGATGATAAATTTTTCACCACTCTCTAGTCAACCTGGAGAAAAGAAGAGATCAGGAGTGAGTGTATTATTTTGAAGTATAATCATCTGACTTACTGTCCTTTATTGTGCTATTCTGTTCTCTCTCCTTTTGTGAAGAGTAAGCATTGAAATATGCATTTGTTCATGAACTGATGGAGATAGAAGATCCCTYTTATTTAAAAAAAAATCTTTAAATGGCAAGAATAAGAATTGTCAACCTTGTAGGAATCTCTGATTTTTTTTTTATTTGACAAGCTTGTGATAACACCTGGAAACTACAGCTCTACTAGATGTTAAATCTGCCAGGGTTATTTTCTTCTATGTTCCCATAACATCCTTACCAGGAAAGCTTCTCCTCTGTCCTTGTGGAGTTATCCCACCACAAAAGCAGTATACACACCCCAAATCCTTGAAATTCACACACCATACCATGATTGAATGACAAACATTATTTGGAAGCTTGATTCTGATCACCAGTTTTACATCTGTGTATTTTGGTATTAAGTCGTAAGMTTTGTTGATCAATTTTCTTTAAACAATTCGGCAATAAAATGGCCCAATGACCGTCAGCTTTTCTGTATTCTGTTTTCTCTAAAAGAACACTGCGCTGCACTTTGCCGCCCGCGAGGGGCATGCCAAGGCGGTGGCACTGCTTCTGAGCCACGATGCGGAAATCATCCTGAACAAGCAGCAGGCCTCCTTTCTGCACATTGCGCTTCACAATAAGAGGAAGGAGGTGGTGCTCACGACCATCAGGAGCAAAAGGTACAATGACTTCCTCCACAGTTACCCAGCATTCTGTGGTGTTAGGGATGATTTACAGACTTAGAAGAAACACAAAAGAAAAATGGCTCTCAGACTTTAGTTGACATATTAAAATGTCAGTTGTGTGCAAATTTTAATGAACCTTTTGGGTAACAACAGGCACATTGGTTCATTCTCTGGTTTTCCGTTTTCATTTCTATAAACTTTACCTATGTGAACATAATACCTCCTTGGTAGTCCTGCTGTGAAACTGGCGGGATCCAAGGATACCAAGGATGGGGCACCATGGTCATTGTCAGGTGACTCTGCCTTTCCCTATCTGAACTTGCCTGACAACACTCTTGCCAACTAAACTCTAAAACTGGATGTCAGTAAAAAAAATTCCCTAAGGGTACCAGTGCTATCTGGTGATTATGGACTATAAATACTAATACCACCATCATGGAGCATTTTTTGTGTTTATAAGTTTTTAAAGCATACTCTAAGGAGTTTAATGATGACCTTAGAGGGTAGTTTTTCCACTTCTCAAAATAACTTTTCTCTGTCAACAAGACAAGTGTCAGGCTCCATGTCACCCAGTAGTGGACAAAGAAGTGAGAAAATTCATATTCAAGGCAGATGTAGCCTATGTTTTGAGCATGGGATGTCTTAAAAACCCATTTCCTTTGAAATATCAGCCAATAAAAGTGTAGAAACAGAAGTTTTATGTTGATAATACAGATATCCCAAATGGACTTTACCTATAGGAAAAAGAGAAAATTTGAGTTGTTTTTAGGATCAGATTCTTATCACTTTATAGGATCTTGGAGATCAATGGGCTTTCTTTGCTTCATGTTATAGATTTAGTTTCTCCTTGATAGCATAAGCTCCTTCTTACCCCATCCAAGAAGAAAAGGGATGAACTCTGTAAGGTTCCAACAGAGCCTATGCTTATTAATATACCTAACATATTATTTTGTAGTTTAATTCAGTATATTAGGGTGTGTGTGTGTGTGTGTGTGTGTGTGTGTGTGTGTATTAACTATTAAATGTGGACCACATACCAAATTGCTGATATGTATTTGAATGTGAATATCTCTAGCCAACATGATCAGGTCTGAAAATACCATATCATGACTTCAGGAGAAAAAGAAGATAAAGACCTGCCTTCTTTAGAAGAAATTTAAAGAAAATACAATAATTATATAGCCATTCTGGAATTTTCCCACATTCCTAATTTCTATTAATAAAGATCCTCCTAATGGATTGATCTTGGTTCACACATTGGCTCCAATGGGCAAGCAGTGCATATCAATAATAAACTTAAAGTTAGATTTAACCTAAAGATMTAATCTTGAGTTTTAATTGTGCAGAGAAGGAGGATAAAGACCTGTGTTTGTCTCTACAGGTGGGATGAATGTCTTCAGGTTTTTACTCATCATTCTCCAAGCAATAGATGTCCAACCATGGAAATGGTAGAATACCTCCCTGAATGCATGAAAGTAAGCTCCCCAAAACAACAACCTTATGGATATACACATGCCATGTGATATGGTTTTATTGTAATTACAACCTAATTTAGTCAGCTTTTTCACTGCTGTGACTACAGGATCTGACCAGAACAATTTTAGAGAAGGAAAAATTTATTTGAGGGCTCACAGTTTCAGAGGTTTTAGGCCATAGAAGGCTGGATCCATTTCTTGGGGCTCGAGATCAGGCTGAACATCATGGTGGAGTGTGTGGCAGAGGGAAGCAGCCCACATCATGGTGGTCAAAAAGGAGAGAGAGAGAGAGAGAGAGAGAGAGAGAGAGAGAGAGAGAGAGAGAGAGAGAGAGAGAGAGAGAGAGACACCACTCGCCAGATACAAATATACACCCAATGCCACACCCCGATTCCCACCTCCTCCAAGCACACCCCACCACCTCAGCTATCACTCAGTTAATGACTATCAGGAGATTAAATCATTGTTTGAGTTAAAACTCTTTCAACCCAATCATTTCTCCTCTGAATCTGCTTGCATTTTCTCACACGTGAGCTTTTGAGGGACACKTCACACCCAAACCATAACATTTTCCATCTTTAAATAAAAGTTTCTGATTTTCCATAAGCTCTAAGGGAAGTAAGCCACCAGCTTTTAATGAAGACCTATGTGCATTAAGGAATCCTATTAGTTATTAGGTGTAATGTGGGAAAATAGAGTAAACATATTTTTTTTCTTCAAATAATCTAAGTCTGGAGCAGAGACTATAAAGTGGTATGTGTTGGACAAATAAAAGCTCTAGATACGTTTTATTTTTCATGCAGGTTATTATTGTTTCAAAMTTGCATTAGTTGCTAACATTCACAACAAAGATGCTTTTCTTAAGGATTTGGTTATCTGGCTTCCCATAAAAATATGAACATCTGATTTTTATAAGGAAAAATATATTTGAGTACTGGTAGAGGCAGTAAGATATAGTACACAGCAGGGAGAGGGCCAGAGTTAATGTCTGGAAACCCTGGGATTTAACCCTAGTTCTGTGCTGCTTTAGGCAAGTCACTACACCCCCCTGAACTTTGTTTTTATTTTCTTTAATAAAATGGTGATGCTGACACTGATCATTCAAAGGGATGGCAAGAAAACAAAAAGTAGATAAAATATATAAAGTSTTAAGGATCAGGTTGATAATAGTATGCTTACTATTGTTTTTTAACGTTTGTATGAATGTTACTCATACTACTACTAACACTGTCTTTTATTTTTCAATAAGCTTGTATTGTGTGCACATTTTTCTTTTTGATGCATAATGTAAGTTAGAGCCAGTCCAGTACACCAATAGCCTGCAGATTAACTTTTTATATACATAAAAACTTATAATTTTTTATATAAATTTCATTAAAGGGCACATCAATATTTAGGGTTAAAAACTATCTCAGACTTTCATACTCAATAATTACAGCTGTTAGTATCTGTTCTATCAAATAATCAGAGATACAGACAGATTTATATATTTTGCTTCCTGTGGCATTATTTATAATAGTAAAAATACACATTATGTATATTGACTTATGGAAAACAGAAAACATTAATGCCAAAATATTAATAAGAATTGTTTGTTATGGGATAATGATCTTTTTCTTTCTTTTTCTATGTATTTCCTAGTTAGTTTTTCATAGTGACTTGTATTATTTTTGTATTATGAATATTTTCAATAAAATTGAGAAACTTGATATTTTTAGATTAACCTCATATCACACATTTGAATCACATATACATTTCTGAAAAGTAGCTCTTACAAATCTCCACCCCACACCCCATTCAYCCTTCATTTTGCCTATTATTTTGCTAATTATTACAAAGTTTTCAAACTGTAGCAGCTAGACCTGCCTCTCTCATTCTGCCTGTATGACACTACTACCAACTAGTTTTCCCTAATGCCTGTTCCGACTCACTACTTCTTTCTAATCACCAATGAGCCTTCCTTGGAATTTTCTAAGGCCCTCTGGCACCTGAGACCCTGTTTCTTCCCTCAGGGCACAGTCTAACTCTCGACTCTCAAGTCACCAAAGTGGGGTTGACCAGTTGCCTTAGAGGTTCAGAATAAATATGGGGCCATCTGAGATCTAATATCTAGTCCTAGTTCCAAGAGGGTAGACTGGCCATACAATGATATTTTTTCAGGATCATGACTTTGGGCCACCAGATTTGGGATGATTCAAATCTTTTATATAGACAGAGGTCCCCAAAATATCTGTCTCCACACACTCTAAGATTATCTCTAATAACCCCATGAGTGTCCTTTCCCATAGTGTAACATCTGGAATGTATTCAACTATTTCTCATTTCAACCTCTATCTCCCACTATCCTGTCCACTGCCTTCTGGGTTAGATCACATGGCAGACACAGACATTGACATTTGTAAAATTTTATTGTTTATATAATTTATAATAATACATTATAAATACATTTATAATAGTAAAATTGTTCAATTTTGCTATTATACTTATACTATTATACTTGCTCAGTGTTGCTCAGTAACTGAAATACAAAAGCAAATGCAGTATTCCAGACTATAGAAATATGGATGATGTGACCTATATCATAGGAAGATCTCAGTGCTGAGGTGAAAGATATCAATTAAGGACAATAATTGTCACTGTAAAATAATGAGCAAAGAAATCCTTAACAATCTATATATTCTCTAGAAGCCTATAAAGATACAAAATCTTAGACAAAACTAAGTAGCTCTTACCCAAATTTTAGTAAATGCAATTTCATTATCAAGCTATTTTTTTATGAATCATCTGATATTTCTAAATCATGCAGGCATAGTTGTGACATTTTGTATTTTAAATCTTGTTCTTGAATGACATGGATTATGACTTATCCTTGAGGTGAAAGAAGCACAGAAAAGGGAGGGAGAATATCTTTGTGTGCTGTTTAAGAAACAGATAAAATGCTTATATAAATTTTTTATATGATGCCCAATGCCCCATATTTTGGCTGTTTTTTTCTCTTGAAGTTTCTTTTAGATTTCTGTATGATACCTTCCACAGAAGATAAGTCTTGCCGAGACTACCATGTAAGTTTATTTCATCTTGATAATTTAAATTTATTTTATTAAAATTCTTGGGAGGATATGAAAAACACAGTGCTATTATAGTTCTATATTCAATTGTGAATAGTATGGATTAGTTTCATTTGTCATATGATTGTATTTTSTGCTTGAAAGAATTTTCCCCTTATACTTTTCCCCAAATATTTTAATGGTTTCTAATAGCACCATTAATGTTGTTTCTTACGTGGTTTTGTGTGAAGAACGAAGGTTTAAATTTAAATGATTTTTTATAATAATTTTTTTTCCATGGCTATGAGTTGTAAAGCAATCAAGTAATAGTTTTCCATAATATTTTTATAATAATTTAATTTTCTTTTCTCTACTTGAAATGRCTCACTCTTCTTTGCATTAATTTTCAGCAGAATTGTAGACATATTTGATTTGTAAAGAACTACTTTGGGGGTCTATGCCAGAGTAACGGTAATTTTTCTAAAACCTTCTACAGATTGAGTACAATTTCAGATATCTTCAGTGTCCATTGGAATTAACCAAACACACAACACCAATACAGGGTGTTATATATGAGCCTCTTTCAGTCCTCAATGTAAGTCTGTTATTTTCATTATTCTGACTATGTTTACATTTCAATGTCYGTGTCTGCCATGTGATCTAACCCTTAATTTTTTTAATAAAGCAAACAGACATTTCAACCATTGCTGAAATTTCATTGACTTAAAGTTCCACACTTTAGTGAGAATGGTCATTTAAGACTTGACAACACACTTAGTATTTGCTCCCCACCACTGTCCACTTAAATATTCAAGAATTTCCTCCAGTTTAAACTAGAGGAAAATACAGAATGTGACATTTTATGGCCATAGTTCCCATGATCAGCCATTAGCTGGGCTCTAAGATAAACTGTGACCTTTCAGAGACTCAGATTCTTTCAGAGAAATAAATCCAATCTGGATCACTCTGCACACACAACATGATCCAGGACTTCCCAAGGCTTGCTCCAAACAAGCTCTTATTCCAGAATTTAATCAGTGAATCAATTATGGCCATGCCCATGACCCATTACTGTCTTAATCAAGAGTCAGACTAGATACAAAGAAAACAGGCAACAGTAGAGTAATGTGAGCCCCTGGTTGAATCGACAGTGGGACCAGTCAGGCAACAACTATATACAAATATTGGCAACAACTTAAAATTTTGTGCATGCAAAACAAAAACAAAAAAGCAACATATTTGAGGATTGATTTTCAAACATGGGTCTAAATACATGCTGTCTGATATGGTAGCTAATCACATGTGGTTACTTAAATGGAAATTAGTTTGAATTAATTTTTTTTCAATTTGATTACCTACAGTTCAGATATAAAATGTTGCCATCACCACAAAATTTCTATTGGTCAACACAGGTCTGAATCAATGAAAAATTTTCATTCACTTTAAATAAATCCATTGTCCTACATGAAACCCTTTGGTATAGATCATAATATGAAATCTAGAAGAATCATTAAGCACTTGGAATGTGAAGGCTGCACATGAATGGGGACTTTATGTAATGYACTCTATGCCCTCAGTGCTGGTGATAGCAAAGGGATTTTAGCTCTGCTAGGGTATYTTATGTTTTGAAGTTGATATTATGGGTCAGAATGAATAACCAAGTAATTCAGTAGTACTCCACTATTGTGATACTTAGAAAACATTTTGTGAATATTTCTGCTATTCTTCTATGAGAAAAAAAATTTCTTCATTGTCTCTTCCATCAGAATGAGATGGGAAAAGTAAAATCTATATAGGATCTAAAAAGAAATATACTCTATTTAATAATGGGCATAGTATAATTATATGAGATAGACTCATTTGAATAAATATACTCCCTATTCATTGAATGTCTCATCAGCACATGATTGTAGTGCCTTATAACTATAACTTCATAGTTATAAGTGAGCTGATGGGGGTTCTTCAAGAGGAGCAGCCAGTTTGGTATGGGAAATTATTGTGCTCAGAAGACTGAAAGTCTAGATGTAGTAATTGGGAGGCACATAAAATTGGGTACTGAGATTAAGGCAAATGAGCTGGTGGGAGACTGTTTCATTAATGGTGCATGCAGAGTAGGACCTCTTAAAACACTCCATTATCATAGCTATAAATATGTTGATATTTCATGTCTTATTTATATTTAATTTGGGTGATATTTAAGCCTACAATGTACTTATTTGCTTACAGTGGTAGATCTATCCCATTTGTCATTGATTTAAAACATTTTCAACACTTAGGAAGCATTTTTTTAATAAGATTGTTTTAACTAAAACACATAGAAAACAAATATAATGTTTTTAATATTTAAAAACACTATGTATACAATTTTATAATATTAAAAAATATATGGGCTGGGGATATGGCTCAAGCGGTAGTGCGCTCGCCTGGCACGTGTGCGGCTTGGGTTCGATCCTCAGCACCACATACAAACAAAGATGTTGTGTCTGCCGAAAAACTAAAAAATAAATATTAAAATTCYCTCTCTCTCTCTTTAAAAAATATATAGTGTTTTTAAATATTAGGAATAGTTTAACTAGGCAAACTACTGTTACAAGTATTTTTTTCATGTTTTCATTTTAACTTGGAAAAATGTGTATATATAGTCACCTTACTCATTCTTTACTGTCTGACTTTGCATAAGGTCAACCCAACTAGAGATTCTGAAGACCTCATGAGCCTTTTCTAGGAATTCATTTTATCTAGGCTTGAATATGTAATCTTCTGTGATGAGGTTTGCTTGTTTCTGTTAAAGACTTCGCCTGATACGTGTCTGACTGCAGCCTCTCTGTTGCTGCAGCAAGCCATGATGTCAAAGCACTGCCTAGTGTCTATTTTTGATACTGCAGGTTCTTTGGTGCTAGTGCAAGCCCCAGTGATCTGCTTTGCAGTCAGGTCCCCCTCCTGTTGCCTATTCCTATTGATGCTTAGATTCAAACTAAGTAAAAATCATTACCTGGGGAAGCCCCCCCAAAACCAGAATGTTGGATGTACATTTCACCTTCTTTCTCTCTCCCTGAGGAGAAGCCAGGAGTTGAAACTTTACTCCACCTGGCACTGCACTGTGCCAGAAGAAGGGACTATAGCAAGCAAATGCCACCAATTCTCCTCCTATCATTGATGTGGTTCTTCTTGGCTTAATGCCCATCTGAAGTACAGGAACCCTTAACTGGGTTCTGGATTCTCTAAGGCAGTGGTCCATGGAGGAAGGATGGTTTAAGTCTTCCTATTCTGCCTTCTTGATGACACCATTTTGTCTGTGTATTTCTTGAATAATGAAAAAAATAATTTTTAAAAACATAGTCATAGTTTCTAATGATGCTTATGAAAACTTATGATTTACAGATTATTTTTAACTACTATTTATGTGTATTCTACTATCTATACTCCTTCTGAATAAAGGGCTAAATTTCTTTAAGAATAGAATGAAGGTGTTTCCCTTGCTAATTTATCCTTAAAGTCCTTTCTTTTTGTTACCCTGTATAAGATTATAAAGCTCATGGAATCTCAGTCAGAAATCAAAAGAGACAAATTTAATCAAATGATCATACCTGTATAAATAATTCTTTCTCACTTGTATTTAAACATTTTTTACTTATTTTTTGACTTTTCAAATTTTCTAGCATAAGCAAATGTTAATTTTATAATATTAAAATAAAGTTATAAAACTAGAAAAAAGCTCAAGCTTATGTTTAGTTATTTAATATGATTGTATTTKTATGCTGCTTCCTTATTTCTTAGGTCATGGTTCAACATAACCGCATAGAGCTTCTCAATCATCCTGTGTGTAAAGAATATTTACTCATGAAATGGTAGGTATTGGGTAGTATTTCTTTTTAAAATGAGGTACCTATTATATCTATTAAAAGCTCTAAGCAATTATTTTAAATAATATTTTAATATTTTATAATTTGGAAAAGAAATTATTATCAATGGCAAATGTTAGCATTAAAATGCTGGCATTTTACATCTTTGACACTAAATAAATATTTGAGGGGTGAGAGAGAAATTTTGCCTAAGACTTGAAGAAGTGTGTTGGATCCTGCACTTAGTTGATAATGAAGTGTGTTCTAGAAGAAAGCATTCAACTGCCAGTCAGATCATATGGGCTGAAGTCTCTGCTCTTCCATTAATTGGAGAAACTTTAAGTGAATCACAATTTACTCAGAAGTTGAGATTCCTTCTTTGGTTGATAAAGTAAATTAGAAGATGTTTTTGGTTTTAAAATTCAATGAATTTACCAAATATATTTCTGAGAGATATTATAAATCTTTTCCTACAGGTATCCTGAGTAAGTATCTTTGTTTAAAATGACTCAATTATTTTTGCTTATTTATAGGTGTGCCTATGGATTTAGAGCCCATATGATGAACCTCGGATCTTACTGTCTTGGACTCATACCTATGACCTTTCTTGTTGTAAATGTAAAGCCAGGAATGGCTTTCAACTCAACTGGAATCATCAATGAAACCAGTGACCATTTGGAAATATTAGACTCTACGGTATTTTCTAACTCCGACTCTTTCAAATAAAGGATAAAAATGTATTTTTCCTTAGTGATACCACCCCCATAATAAATCTGAAATATCAGGATTTTGATATGGTAAATAATCTATAGACTTTGCATATGGTACAAATTTCTTCAAAAATCCTTTGTGGAGTTAGAAGGAATATGATAGGTCAGTAAATGAATTYATAACTAATTTAAAAAAATTGAGATGTATGATCTATCGTGAATACCAAAATGTATACTTTAACATATGTCTATATAATAGCAGATTTGTGGTTGCCAGGGACTACAGAGAGAAGGAATTGGGCAGAGATGCTTAATGGGCATAAGATTTCCATTTGGGACTGAAAAAGTAAAGAACTAGATAGTGGTGATGGTGATATAAGATTATGAGTTTGCTTCATGCCACCAAATTGTACATTTTAAAACATAAATGTACATATCAAATGTAAGGCTTTTAAATTAGCAAATTTATGTTATGTGCATTTTACCACAATTTACAAAATGTAGAGGTATGCAGATTTGTATCCTTTAGAATTCATTTGGCAATTTTTGAACATCTCTTAATAAGAACAATATGAAATGAGTATGTATCATCTTAACTAAATGAGATGCGTATTTGTATCACAGTGGTTTTCTGTTTAATTCAAATGTAGGCAGTACCTACAAATGAAATAAAAGGAAAACAAAATAAATACTTAGTAGTGGGACATGATGAAGCCACTAACATGTTGTTTTATTTTGTATCCTTTATAACTACTCATCTTATATATTTTTCATTTCAGAACTCATATGCTATACAAGTTTGTATGATTTTAGTTTTTTTATCAAGTATATTTGGATATTGCAAAGAAGTGGTTCAGATTTTCCAACAGGTAAATAACATGTTTCATATCTCTAAAATTGCAAAATTTTTTAATATAAATAAACTACTTGATAAACAATTATTTGAACTAGTGTAATGTCATAATAAAATCACATAGCTTGGCTAATGTAGACCTTTAAAATAAGCATAAACTTTCAGGAGTACATGATTTCAGGTAAGGTCACTATAGCTTTAATGTATTTGAGAAAGAGATATTACATTTTTACTGATCTAAATGAATCTGACTGACTACAAATGACCATTATGAATAACTTTCATATGTTTTCTCTGATATCATTTTTAATGTTTTGTTAAAATAATAGTTAGGCTTGAATTTGATCATTTAAAATATAATTTTTACAAAGAATTTATCTGGGTGAAGGCTCAAATGGTTCTCTATTTGAATTCTTTTCCTAATAGAAATTCTTTTCTTTATTGGATAAAATTTCAAGTTATAATAAAATTTGGAACATTTTTATGACATATTATTTTACTTTGTACTTTATATTTTCAAATGGTAACCAAGTTCAGATCAGACCCAAGTATCATGTAAATGATCTGCAGGTCCTTGCTTTGATAAATGTCCTGGATCCTTTATTTCTGTGTAGAGGTGTAATATTTTATTATTTGTCTTTTTTGTGGGTCATTTTGTGAATATTATTTTCTAATTCATATAGCTCTGATACAGCACCTCTGTTTCTGWGAAAATTTTCTTTTTTGCATTGTGTCCCTGCATGCACAGATGTTTGCATTAAAGAGTGCTCATAATAATGATGCTTTGCATTTATTTACTGTTATATATTACAAAGACTTTCATTTATATATTTTAAGTAAATTATCAAAATTTTGAGACTATCTTATTTTACTTTACCTTAAGTGATTTAAGGTATATAACTTAATCTCTCATCATTTTTTTCCATTTTCTTAAAATGAGAATTGCAGATTATAGTTTAAATTGAACTATGAAGTTATATATTCTGACAGATTTGATCTCCACATTTTCTTACTGATATTAAAATGGTCTATCCTACATGAAATTTAATGCCCCAAATATGAAATATTTTAACAATACCATTATGATTTGTTCTCATTTCCTGGTGAAATCTCTGAAGGTCTCAAACATATTTAGAGGCAGACAGTTTATATGTATCCAGAGAGGGCCATGTGTTCCTATATGGACACAAAGATCTCAGAAATTACTAAACCAACTTGACCCCTAGAGATTACCTTATGATGGAATGGGCTCTGCAGGGTAAGCCCGCAAACTTGTAGGATTTTCTTAGGCATCAGACTCTCATAGCACCAGGTCAATTGATGACTCTGGGCCATCTCCAGCATTTATGCATACACACTTCAGGGGCCCAGGGACTCTGAAGCAACCCAGATGGCAGAAGGTGACTCCTTGGTCATATGTAGACATATGTATGTGTATATATGTATGTATGTATCCATAGATACCGGGTCTCTATATRTGGTAATTGTGCATTATTGTCAATCCCAGAAAAGGAATTACTTTTTGGATTATAACAATGCCTTGGAATGGCTTATCTACACAACGAGCATCATTTTCGTGCTGCCCTTATTTGTTAATGTGCCGGCGAATGTGCAGTGGCAATGTGGAGCAGTTGCGATATACCTCTATTGGATGAACTTCTTATTGTATCTTCAAAGGTAAAGCCAGTTTGAATTATTTCTATGTCCTTTAAACATTTTTAATATCAAATGCAAAACTGTTTGTAGACGAGGGTCTTTCAACCTCAGCACTATTGAACTTTTGGCTCAGTTAATTCTCTTTCAGTGTGTATGTGTTTAGGGACTTGTCTTGTGTATTATAAAATGTTTGGTAACATTTCTGGATTCTACCCACTAGGTACTGATAGCACCTACCCCCATCTCTATTGTGACAGCCCAAATCTATCCAGACATTACCAAATGTCCCCTTAGTGCCAAATCTTCCTGGTCAAGAACCACTGAGCTAGGGAAATCTAGATTAAACGTAGGGAGTAAATGAGTGTGCAAGTTCTGGCATTTCTTTCTTTAYTTGATATTATTTGACAAGCATTTACTTTGGGGTAAAATGTTCAAAATGAAATTATATGCAGTATGGGAAATAAATGTGGTATTAAAAATAAAAGAAAAAATAAATCCAACTTCTCACACTTATTGTTGTTTAATTCAATGTTATTTCACATTGCTTTTACAATGAATAAATGTTACGTTATTCATTTTCTATATAAAAGAAGTTTAAGCTTTTTAATGAGCAACTTGCTGAAGATCTCTGCTAGTAAGTCAAGACTTAAGTATTTAACCAGTCTTCTGACTCCAGGGTTCATGCATTTTCCACTGTCCCATCCACATTACTGTCAGGAGCACAATGATCTTGCACCTTGATGAGACCCAGTGGCCCAGGAGTCGGAAGGGTTCAAGTCAGGTTGCACAACTGTCATTCCTTTTGTTCTGTCATATTCAGTGACATTCAGATGTTGAAGTTTTTCAACATCTCTGGGAGCTTAACTGAAGTCCTTTTCAAATTTTTAAAAATCTGTCTTATTTGTTGAGTTATGCATAATACGCATATATATTTGTGAGCTACACTGTGATGTTTTGATTTTTGTCCGTATTGGATAGTGACAGTTTTGACATCCTGTGATTCTCACTTTTGGTAAGTAATCTTTGTCAAAGGAGGAGAACAAGCTAGTAACCAGATGACACCCATTATCTGTCCAAATATTCTACCATGCAGGGTGCTGGGATGGGAAAACAAAAGGGGTCAATCCCAGAAAAGGAATTATTTTTTGGATTTGAATGCAAATCATGTATGGTGTGCCCTGTAACAGGGGCCTTCAAGAACACAGGYKCATTTAATCAGTCTCTGCTTGGTGCGTCACATGATTTATCTCTACAGTTCCTTTAGCAAGCATTTACCATGATTCTCTTTGATATTGGGGAGCTTCAGGGTTTTCTCTCCTACTTTGGTTGAAGTAACACCTAGTGCTCAAGTGGAAAAATGATAGAAGGTAAACATTAACAAAAGGTGGGAGGTTAGGCTTATTATTCATAAATTTTTATGTCTTTTTTTTCCCAAAATGGACTCACTGGTCTCATCTATGAAACTATGCCTAATTTAATACATGATAAATATTGTCACTCAGTGRAATACACTCTGACCACAAAAGTGAGGAAATATAAATTTTTCATTTTTCTAGATTTGAAAATTGTGGAATTTTCATTGTTATGTTGGAAGTAATTTTGAAAACTTTGCTGAGGTCTACAGTCGTATTTGTCTTCTTGCTTTTGGCATTTGGACTCAGCTTTTATGTCCTTCTGAATATACAGGTGAGACAGTTGCATCAATAATTGACTTCATCACTGTGAATATTAAAAACAGAATTATACTTAAACCTCAATTGCCTAGGAAATAAACAATATTTACCTTTTTCATCTTGGTATATCTTTTTAATGATATTTACTGAAGAAAAAAGTGGAAAAGGAGAAGTTTTCTATTATCAAAAAGTTTGCTTAAAATGTATAATGATTTGCCATATGTATGTAAAAGATCTTTTGGATAATTTTGCTACAGTTTATTAATATTTCTTATTAATACATTTTAGTAGCTACTTGCCTATGACTTTCTTTTTTAATTCATTCGGATTTGTTATATATGACAGCAGAATGCATTTCGATTCATGTTACACATACAGAGCACAATTTTTCATATCTCTGGTTGTACCCAACGTAGAGTCACACCATTCATGTCTTCATACATGTTCCTTGCCTATGACTTTTTAAAAAGTATTCTGATTATATTTTCTGTCATTTTACTCTCCASGAAATACATGTACATTATTCACATTTTGCATTTCATTTTGACCTTTCTGTCTTCTCTCAGGATGCCTTCAGCTCTCCGTTACTTTCCATAATCCAGACCTTCAGCATGATGCTAGGAGATATCAATTACCGAGATGCCTTCCTAGAACCATTTTTGAGGAATGAATTGGCATATCCATTTCTGTCCTTTGCCCAACTTATTGTCTTCACAATGTTTGTCCCAATTGTCCTCATGAATTTACTTGTAAGTAGCTTCTCTTTGTATTTTCTCTGTGTTGACCAAAATAATTATTCTTGGCTTCTTGGAAGTCCCTCTGCTGGAGGGAGATAGATGTGTTAATTTCATGTTGCTATAACAAATGTCTGAGGCAACTAATTTACAAAGAGAATAGYTTTGTTTAGCTCACAGTTCTGGAAGTTCAAAGGCATGATGTTGGCACTGGCCCAGTTCTGGTGTGGGCAGCARTTGGTGACACATAATGGTGGGAACACACACAGGAACAAAACAATAACATCTCAAACTAGAGCAGAGACAGAGAAATAGTATGGGGGGGGGATCTCACAGTCCCTTTCAAGGGCATGACCTCAATGACTTCAGGACTTCCGCACAAGGCCCCACTTCTTAAAAGTTCACAGCTTCTCTGARTACCATCACCCTGGGGACCAGGCCTTTACATATGGACATCTGGGGTCCATTACAAAGCAATGGAAAAAGGGATACTACAAGATTTATCATTCAGTACTTACATGGTGCCTGGGGTATACCAGGGACATCAGCAGGCTCAGGGAGTGCATGCATTCATTTGACAAATAAKTGCCAAGAATTTACTATATGCCAAATACTGTTGCTGGTTCTTGGAAAAAGTAGTGAATAAAACAGATCAATACCTGGTTCTTATATGATTAGAAATCAGTCATAAAGTAGGTAATAATGAATAAATATGTAGGATAATGTAATGGAGGTAATACATGAAGGTAAAGAAGTAGAAACTTGAGTAAGATAATAAAGATGATGGTGTGGGTTTCTTGGAGTTGGAGAGGGTCTCAGAGAATAGGCAAAGACCTTTGTAGAGTGTATTGTCTTTACCCTTGAATTTCTCAGACCAGAGATTCAAGTGGGGAAAAAGCTCTCCTGCAGAGGCTGTTAGCTGCATTCARATGCCACCTTAACCAAGTCAAAGTCTAGATACCTTCAGCAGACAGGGGAGTGCTCTTCACATGGAATTTTCTAGAGAATTTTCTCAAATCATGAGCATCTTGGCTGATGGATTTCAGTCCTGTGAAAATTCTAATTGACATGATGGAGATTGTTTAACCCTTATGGATTTGTACATATATTGTTTCAGTCMGTTTGTTGTTGTTGTTGTTGCTGTGACTAAAGGATCTGACCAGAACAATTTTAGAGGAGGAAAAGTTTATTTGAGGGTTCATGGTTTCAGAGGTCTTAGTCCATAGAAGTTTAGTTCCATTCCTCAGGGCTTGAGGTGAGGTTGAACATCAAGGTGGGTCAGGGTGGTGAAGAGAAGCAGCTCACATCACAGTGATAAGGAAACAGAGAAAGAGACTCCATTCTCCAGATACAAATATATACACCAAAGCTACACCCTAATTTCCACTTCCTCCAGCTATACCCTACCCCTTTAGTTATGGCTCAATTAATCCCTATCAAGGTATTTATTCACTGATTAGGTTAAGACTCTTACAACCCAATCATTTCYCTCTGAATCATCTTGCATTGTCTCACWCATGAGTTTGGGGGGACYCCTCACATTTAAACCATAACATATRTGTATGCATTCTACTTGCTTCTTCTGCATCTGATTCRGTAACACAGACTGTGTTAGGCATTKTTTCTGGAAAGAAATAAATAATGCAGACTCCTTAGTGTTTTGATTCACTTATCTGATACAAAAACTTATCTGATTTTTTTTTATCCTTGAAAAATAAAGGATAGTGCTAGGAATCATAGAGGATGATATAAGCCCACATTCTTCTCTTATAATGGCTTATGTTTGGGAAGATGACTRTTCACAAGATAATTTGGATTACCTGTAGTACAACTTCTCACCACCACGAAGATGCATGCACCCAGCTCCCACTGAGCATCTCTACCTGCATRTCCCAAGGGAAAATCAAACCCCACAGAGTCAAGACTAAAGCCATCTTTCCTTCCAAATTTGTTACTACCTTGMAGTAACATCTCCTAATGGTCTTAGAACATGGGAAGATTTTCTTGACCACCCCCAGCACTTTCCCTCATTCCTTTCCATAATTATTTGCCTTCTATGTCTACTCYGCTTGGCTTTCACCCTCGACATTCTTTAAGTTGCTGCTACTGTCGCTCCTCTGTCTAACCCTACATATTTTCACTACAGAGATGGCYAATGAAAATCTGGACCTGCCAATGTCTCTCTTATTTTTGTTCTATGACTCTTTAAAAGCTTCAATATAGCATGCTCCCAAGCATCCCTGTGATCTTCATCTGATCTTACCCAAAGTCGACCCTTCCTAGGAGTGTGCCAGCTTCCTTCATGCCTCCTGGACTCTCATAAGCTCTTCCTTTTGCCTGGAAAACTGTCCCTCCATGAGTTAACTCAAAGCTTTCAAAACTCAGCTTAACTGTCATCTCTTCTGGGGAGAATTCCCTTACCAATGCTCTCACTGCCCCCTCATTACTTTAATCTGAATTGGGCACTGCCTCTTCAAGTTATCATGGTTTTGAGGACACAAATTAGAGATAATAAAATCTTCTTTCTTGGGGTTTATGAAGATTACATTAGCTAACACAAAACACTTTAAATGGTGCTTGGCACATGATAAGCATCCAACGAATAATAACTATTAATAGTTGATAATTGATCTGTTTTGTGTCTCACATTTCAGAGCCCAGGCAAGCATSTGAAATGTGTGAAGAAGAAAATATGAGATGATCAGTTTTGATCTAGGCTGCTATAACTTGGACAGAACCCCCATCTAAAGACTTRCTCATTTAAAACAAAAATCCTGATAAATAAAACCTATTTGCTGAGCATGTATTGCTCTCAATTGCAGTTTGCAATTTCTAGAATATATTCTCACACTGTTCACTCGTTCAGCAAATATTATATATATATATTACAAAACACTGGACATATAACAATGACCAGATAGACAAAGTTCTTCTCTTGTGGAAATCTTGGGCTTTCAACTCCCTGAGAGCASTCACTGGCTTTCCATTCTCTGATGCAGCATCCAGGATGCCAGCTCAGTATAGACAGGGACTAAGCACCTAAAAAAAAATAAATAAAAGAATGAGTCAATTTAATTAGATTGAGTAGATCTAAATCAACAGCTTCCGCTTACCTGATTCTATCTAGTCACSGATTTCTAGAGGGATTTCTCACCAGAGTTTCACCTACCTTCTTCTGCCAAACATGTGAGATATAAATCCTTATTCCCTAAGATTAATGTTTTAACTTTCTCATGTTGGCAAGTCACTTTTATATGCCTTAGTTAAACTAAACACCTGGAGTTACCAACCATGTTGCATGGCTACCCCCAGTTGCATTTGACATCATATCATCCCTGTTCTCTCCAAAAAGAACATGTTTTATCTTAAAATGGATTGCAGATTAATCTGTAATGTCTTAAGCTTTTATGATAACAGTTAAGATCATTGTACTGAAGACAGTACCTGGCACATGATAAACACTCAGTGAATACTGAATACTCTTGCAAAGGTATGTGGGGTTTGCAGTTTTGTGTAAGGTATATTAGCAAAGCATTACCCAGCCATTGCTAGTAGATCACAAGCCCACTCCTCCACTTTGGCCAGAGAGACCTTGCTGAAGTCTGAATGGTTACAACCCCTGCAAAAGTTACATGTTGAYGCCTCATCAACAAGGTGATAGTCCTAGAAGGGGCCTTTGGGAGGTGATTAGTGCATAATGGCAGAGTCCTTATGAAAAGGATTTGTGCCTGTTTAAATAGGAAGCTTGTTGGACTCTTATGTCCTCTACTACGTGAGAACACATAGAAGCCATTCTAGGAGGGATCACTGAATCAGCTAGTGCCTTCATTCAGGAGACTTTTCAGCCCCCAGAACTGTTAACAGTACCTTTATGTTACTTCTAATGTACTCAGTCAGAGATTTGGGTGTAGAAGCCTGAATGGACTAAAACAGTGCATTTTTAGATGGGTCATAATTAAATTTTATGTTGTACTTCAGATCGGTTTGGCAGTGGGGGACATTGCTGAGGTACAGAAACACGCATCATTGAAGAGGATCGCTATGCAGGTAAGTATTATATTTAAACCTTACTGAAATGAACAGTGTCATAATTATTTACATATAAGAACAGCAGATTTTCTGAGAACACATATTTATATCCCTATTTATTGTGAATATTTTCTCAATACTGAGGAGTTATATCCTGTGTCTGCTTGCGTGCTCACTGGCATACCTGCTGTAGTCAGAGCTATCGAGAATGATGAAAAATGTCCCAGACCAATCTAAGCAGAGAAATGGAGACATGACCTGAGCCTCTTTATGACAACATGGGGCCAAACAGATAGCTAGTAGCTAGACCAAGAACATCACTAGTCTGTGGTGTTGTGTATTGTCACAGCCCAACTGTTCAAAAGAGCTCCTGATATTTTGGCATGGAATCATCGGGTGACCACAGCAGGTTTTATAWGTAAGTTTTGACTGTATCCATGAGGCTTTTGTTCTTGTGTGATATCCCTGTCATTTTTCTAGATAATTTGATGTAAATTTTGCTATAGTCAAAGGTTTTTGCATAGGTCCTTTGCTATTGAGTCTTAAGAGGTAATTTCCTGTCACACAACACAATTATTTCTATGCTCTTTATTGTTTTATCTTTAAATTTCAATTTGGAGTGAGAATATTTGATGCTTCAAAAATATCAGAATATCAGTAGTATGTATGCATTTAGAATTTAGGCCAGTTTAAGTGAAAGAAAAACCCRTGCTAAATGTAACTTTATTCGAAACAATGTTTCAGCACATGGTATTTATACTGTGTAGTACAACTTAGCATGAGAACCCAGAGGAAATAAAGGGATGTGGTCTGACTTATATTAGGCTGTGCTTACTTATCATAGCAACTACACATTCAGAGAATGAAAGATCAAAACTCAACTGAGAACTATCCTTAAACTTTACACTGTATGACTTAGCTGTGTATTGTATAAAGAGTGTGGGACATCTAGAGACCAAAAATATATGAATTACCACGTATAGAAAATAAATGCAAAAACAATTAAGGGAAACTGCATAGAGAAGATGGGATGAGTGAGCATTGAAAGCTTTAAAAAGGCAGTGAGTGCTGGGCCCAGTAATCCCAGCAGCTCAGGAGGCTGAGGCAGGAGGATCGCAACTTCAAAGCCAGCCTCAGCAAAAGTGAGGCTGTTAAGCAACTCAGTGAGACCCTGTGTCTAAATAAAATACAAAATAGGGCTGGGAGTGTGGCTCTGTGGTCGAGTGCCTCTGAGTTCAATCCTCAGTACGCTCTCCCCTAAAAAAAAAAAAAAAAAAAAAAAAAAAAAAGGCAGTGAGACTGTTCCAGAAAGGAGGGAGGAAGTGGGAACAAAGACCCAAGGCAAAGCTAGGGGAAGCAGGTGAGGTACTGTTACACGAGGGCTTCTTGCCTGAAGTATGGTTCATGTGAAAGGTCATGAGGTTGTTGCAGCTGAAAAGGGCTTTGTTCACAAACAGAAAACAAACAAACAAACAAAAAAAAAACCCTTCACTTTGAAATAAAAGGCAGTAAATGACAAAGTACTTTGAGTTATTTTGTTAATGAGTAGAGCTATTATCACAAAATAAAAATGGTATTTGAGATGATCTGCTGTTATCTAGGCTTAGTGGGAAAAAACTGAAAAAAAGGAAGAGCTAATGGTGTGTTAGGACTCGAAGAAAGATGGGGTGCAGGGCTCCAGGTAGGTGGATAGGAGAGGGGATAGATAAACCCCAGCATGGCTCTTAACTGCCCTAGTAGTGCTTTAAAACACCAGCAGAAATAAATTTTAAAAAATAATATAGACAACAGGGCTAGATAAAATGTTCTAGGAAAACCCACTGAAGTACAGGGTCAGGAGGGCTGAGCCAAAAAGTGTGATCTGACATTGTGTTTATTCTGGTCCCTGAAAGCAAACAGTGCAAAGCTTAGGACCTTTTTTGTTCCTTGCTTTGGATCAACAACAGCATTGACCAGAAAGCTAAGAGGCCCTTCTCTTCTTTCCCCTGAGTTATTTTAAAGCAATTCTTGGCATCCATTGTGAAACCTCTGCTTGCAACCTCTCCAGGACCATACTTGAGAGAGTCAGTTTGGTAATTCCTATAAAGTTAATAAACAGGGGTTTTGCACACCATATCCTCTCTGTTGGCAAACTCAAGACTTGAATAAATTGACTTTGAGTAAATAAATAATAACATGTAACCTCTAAAAAATAAATATGGCAAGGGGAAAGGAATATTACCCTAAAGACCCAAGGGGACACAAGGAACTCAGAAAAAGTATTATAGAAAAATCAAAGAAAATATCTCACTGGTATTGTTAGCACAAGAAAACATAATTTTTYTTGAAGCTGAAGTTAACATGTAGGAAGTTGGGGGGTGGGGTAAGCACCAAAAAAATAGCAGGGAAGTCAGACAGAGTCTTATAGGGGTCAGTGGGGACTGCAATTCTAAGCAGTACGATCCGGGAAGTTCCTACCATCTCACCATTTATGACTATCAATCACCTAAACACCCAGGTATTGAAAAACATATGGTCATAGATGAGAAAGCAAATCTTTCGAATCTTCCGCTCTGTGGAAGTTAYGATGAACATTTTTATCAACTGACACAAAGGTTATAAAAATGTGTGAAAGATGAATTTGGCCAACACAAAAGGAAGATTTAAAAATAAAAAAAAATTAAACTAAATGAAAGCTCAAAACAGAAGCACTGGGTGAGATAAAATATTATACCTTCCCAAATAGAAATGTCTTCAGTACACCATTTTGCACCTGATAGCAYAGCATAAAAATTCACCAAATACTCTTAGACATACTAGTTCTACTTTTTTTTTTTTACTCTTTTATGTTATGTTCCCSTGGTTAAGCACCCTGTCCTCTCCCTTCTACATTCATACCATTGCTCTCCCCAGCTGTGACATTTGGTAGTATTGTAATGCTCCAAGAGCACAGACTGTCTGTTTCTTCTTTATACCTCCAATGTTGATCACAGTCCCTGAAAACTAAACACCTGCTGACCTACATTGGATTATTCCCTTAACAGCTTGTCCCCACCCCAAAAGATTGCATCCCTTGTCCTGTGGGTGGATGAGGGAGGGGAAGAGGTGGAGGAAGGTGACTGAGTAAGGGCTGAGGAATCCTAGCCAGCCCAGCTCCTGTGCATACATTAGGACACAGAAATCAATCTTCATTTTTCTGCACTCATGATTATTTCTATGCAGTGTAAGATTTCCAGATATTAATTAATGAGTCTATCAATAAATCCAAAATACATTTTAGGTGGAACTTCACACCAGCTTAGAGAAAAAGCTACCACTCTGGTTCTTACGCAAAGTAGATCAGAAGTCCACCATTGTGTATCCCAACAGGCCCAGAGGTGGGAAGATATTGGTAAGTACACTGAACCAATAGCAGCATAAGCAACATGATGCTTCATCCTTGTGATATCCATTGGTGCCTTGTTATAGCCTCTGATTCTGCTCTGCTTATGGGAAAGAAGCAGTTGTAGGGTTGATGATGATAGTGATAATGATGATGATGATAATGATGATTAAAATATATGATTAACACACAATGTGAAAATGACATTCAGCAGGCAAGGAGACTTGTTTTTTTTCCAGGTCGCTTATCCACAGCCTCAGAATTAAATATGCCCATGTCCTGGGAGAGCAGACAGGTGACAGACCAGTCATAGCCTTTTAGTATCTTATTTTTTGTATTATAGGTATACTTTGTTTCTTTTTCCTAGTCACTTGCCACTTAGAATAATTCTGTGTACATATATGTTCATATATATGTGTGTGTATATGTCTGTACATAGAGCACACAATAAAGAACACACACAAACACACACACACACACACACACACACACACACACAAGGAAAATGTCCATTGTATAAAATACACAAAGTGATCAAGGACCAAGCAAGACCATTGCCTTCTCAAGGACAAGGGAACATATCAACAGCCAGATGTTCTGGATGCTAATCCTGACCATGCTGGGCTCTCCCATCTCTCTGACTGTTCTTCCTGAGTTCTTTGCAGTTCTTTTTTCCTTGTGGAGTCCTAAAATGGTCAAGTGTGATCTATAAATTATCTAGGCTTTATTCTCACTTCACACTAACTCCCATCCTATTTCACACAAGTGAATTGCAATTGCTAGCTGCACACTAAATATCTTCATTTCTCCAGCTGAGAGCTGCCTTTGAGCTCCAGACCCCTATATCCAGCTGCCTACTTGACATTTCCACTACCTGTCTTGAAGCTACTTCAAACTTGGCATTACAAAACCAACCTTCACTCTTCCGTGTCTCACCCCCTCTTCACATCCCCTATAGAAACATAGCGAGAAAGTTCTGTCTTCCTCTAAGGTCTTCATTGCAATTCATGTCAACACTATTCATTTACTTATGTCATCCTTGACATCTTCTCTCCTTCCCCCTCTCTCTTACATTTGGTACATTTAATTTTCTGGGAGACCTATGCAAGTAGCCATGTTCTCCTGCCTGGGCTCCTAACATGATCTTGTTCTTGGCCTTTTACATCTGCCTTTGACCTTCTCCAGTCCACTCATGGTTTAATGGACACTAAGCTGAGTGTACAACTCATTGGTAGGGCATGTGCCTTCTGTACCAGGCCTGAGTTTAATCTCCCCCCCCAATAAAAAAAGAACACTAAATCAAAACAAAATTCATGAAAAATCATGTTTCGGAGACTTTCCTATGTGAAATTTGTTCATTAGTTCAATCATGTCAGATAATGGTGTGGAGCAGTTTTAAAGAATCAGTGAATCTTGTGTGAAATACCAGCACCCATAAAGGGCATTTTTCATGAGAATTTATAGAATGATCCAGTTTAGCTCTTTCCTAAACAATTACCCATCCCATTTTATGCTGTCTATATTATTTGCACAAGTTTTTACTTTTCTTTTATATATGACTTCAACTTATAACTTTGTACAGGGCTGTTTCTCACAGTASACTGTGAGCTCTCTGAGGGCCATAGCTGTGGCTTATGAACAGATGTGCTTAGTGAATCTGGCTCAGTGGCTGAATATTGGTACATTCTTAGGAAATAGTTCCTGAAGTGAATTCAACCTGAGTAACTATTTTATTTTATCCCACAGCGTTTATTTCATTACCTTTTTGGTAGCCACGAAATAAGACAAGAAATATCAAATACTGATACATGTTTAGAAATAGAAATGTTGAAACAGAAATACCGGTATGTATCTTTTTCCTTCTATCTATATTTGAGAATTTAAAACTCTTAAATAATATAGTATATGTTTATATTGTGTATTGGTCTTTATTTCCTATATGAAGCCATGTTTTTTGACTGATACAGCTAGGGTATTGAGGATCATGAGACTTTTTTTAAGACTCAAAAACTCATTTGGCTGCTGATCACTGGTTTGCCATTATCTAAGGATAAGTGAGTAAAAGTTACAATGGTGATTTCCTGATTCTCAGGGGCAATATTATAAACTGCATTTGTCATGAGCTGTCTGAATACATTAAGCAAAGCTCTGAAAACCTTTGAGGATCTGTGGAGTAGCTGTGTCGTACGTAGACAGTAGTCAAGCACAAGGGCTTTAGCATTAGTTTACCTTTTTAAACCTCTAATTAACTATTTACTAGCTCTGTGATCCTGGAAAAATTGCTTAACCTTTCTGTGCAATTAGTTGCTTGTCTGTAAGCTAGGAACAACAGTCACAACAACTAGCCATGGACGAGTGTTGTACTTTGGGAAAATCACTTATACTTCAATGCAATGTATTCTTTGGGAGGACCTTGACTATCAGAAAGCTATAATCTGTACCCAGTGAATTTAGAACATTGCTGGCATGTTCTACAATGCCTCCTATACTCAGAAGGGCTCAAAGAAGAGCTGACAATGAACTCATGAAACGTGTGTTCTTTTAGGCTGAAGGACCTCACTTCTCTCTTGGAGAAGCAGCATGAGCTCATCAAACTCATCATTCAGAAGATGGAGATCATCTCGGAGACCGAAGATGAGGATAACCACTGCTCTTTTCAAGACAAGTTCAAAAAAGAGCGGTTGGAACTCATGAGTAGCAGATGGAATTCCGTGTTGAGAGCAGTCAAGACAAAGACACAGTGCCTGGAGCCCAGACCCTGAGTGGGGCTTCTTATGAGGGTGCATGACTCACTGCATCTAAGTTCACCTAGAAAAAGTGTGGAAGGAGCAGAAATCTGATTGATACCACTCCATGGGAAACAGTGGTTCCTGCATTCTTTGTCAAAGTCAATTATTTCTCTCTATTCATATTTTCTGCCAATCACTAGGTATTGAGAATATCTTTGCAGATATGTTCAAGCTGACCTTTAATGAAAGGTAATATCATCCTTTGAATGAATAGAAAACTTATTTGCTAGAACACACATTTAAGGATAAAGGAGTAATAAATGTATTAACTATTAAGCTAGAATGCAAATAGCAATACTGGATTCCTGCTTGATAATTATATAACATGAGATAACTTTAGTTAATAGTCCCCCAAGAACTAGATTGAGTTCTACCATGTGGAAAGCTTTTCTGTGTTACAAGAACTTTTGGTTGCACAACGTGTACTGTCTGTTCCAACTGTGGTAAACAGCCCAACCCTTCTTGCTGAAGTTACTTTGAGCCATGTATTTGAAGTCCAAATTAGTAGACCTTATGCTATGCATGAATTGTGTTATAGAGAATGTGTTATTTCTGTATATTTTGTTTTCCTGTGATCACAATAAATATAAAACCTGTGTAGTCATTCCTCAGCAATTATGGTACAAACTTTTTATTGTATTTAGGATTTGGAGTTGCAGTTGCAAGAATGCTTCCATCACATACGCCATTTGTTTAGTACAAAGTATGAATTAAACACACACCTCATCACTGATCTCTAACTGTATTCTATTCCTCCCAGCCTGTCCTTTCTCCAGCACTTTTAAAGCTCAATTTATATAGCATCTATACTTCAAAATTATCCCTAATGGTCCCCACTAATTATGCTCCCTGCCTCCTCTGAACTGTCATATGTTGCATTTCTCTTCCACCCTTTGACCTATTTGGTAACTCTGATTTGCTACACCTCTATCCCCCAACAGGAGGTAGGCTCCCTGAAGCTCATAATTCACTGTCACTGCCAATCTCAAGTGAGAAAAAGAATCACATTACATCTTAATTCATGTTTTTCATCTTTTGTCGTTCCTGGCACAGTACCCTGTACATAATAGATGCTCAACAAATACATATATGTAAATCAAATAAAAATCAGTGAAGATAATTATTATAGATCTGAAAGAGACTGCAAGGAAACTTCCCCAGAAGAATATGTTACTATCTTTATTCTACTGCTCTGTGTTGTAAACAATTTGAAGGATTTGCTTCCAAGTGGTGAAAGAGTTACTAAAACACCATTTTTCTGCCTTTCCCCCTGCTGCTTCAACCTGAATTGATATTTTTATAAATTTTAACTATGGTTAGCATGGTAATAGAGTTTGTGCTTTGCAATATGACACTTTTTGCCTTCATAATGACTAATTCCAATTGGTTGAGTGACTCCAGATGTATTTTCTCACATCCAAAATGGTAATAATAGCATATTGCAGTGTTGTTAAGAAGGGACAATATAATGCAAACAGAGTACCTGAGCTCAATAAATCCTATTGCAATTTGTTTTTGAAAACTACTATAACAGATAAAGAGGCTTATAAAACACTGGGATGTTCATATTCTACCAATTACTCATTATACTTCCTTAGAAGTTAACTAGTTGCTAATTTGATATAAATTGAAGCTCCCAGGCTCTTTGGGATCCCTTTAGCCAAGCAATCATATACAAACCTCACATTCAGAGAGAACTTTGATTTAAATAAATATTTCATCAATTTTTTAATCTTTTTTTTTGCCTTAGACTTAAATCAGCATACATCAATGGAGCACTAACTCTCTGCTAGTCAGAGCAAATCATCATCATTTAATATTTTTTTAGCCATTTTCAACATTTTGATGTGAGCAGCTTAAATCATGATAACCAGAGGAAGGCTCATAAAATGCACTATGCATCAGGTGTTTCTCAAAGTACTACGTATTATCTCATTTGATTCTCAAAATCAGTATGGTAGGTGCTTTGACTGTCATTTTTGCTTTATAAAAGAAATCATGACACCTCCAGTTGAGCAGCATGTTCAATGTCACATTGCTGAGTTATGAACTCTGGCAGTCTGCCCCTGGATTTTGTGTTCTTGTCATGAAGCCATACTCTGTCTCAAGTAAAAACCAGAGAAAAGAGCATTTCTCTTTAGTGACTTCATCCTCAACAGATTGAAGTGTGAGCAGTTGCGGTGTAACATTCATAGATTTGGACATTTGACTGTTGCTGCAAAAGCAAGTGTGATGGCTGCCCGAGCTATAGAATGTCTAATTTCTAGCTGTGTGACCCTGTTAACTGAGGACAATAACATTGAGGACAGTTAGGATAATACCACACACAGTTATCTTTGTGTCTCTGTGACCAAAATACCCAACAAGAACAACTTAGAGGAGGAAAGTATTTTGGCTTACCTTTCCAGAGGTTCAGTCCATAGTCAGCCCACTCCATGGCTCTGGGACTGAAGAGAGACAGAACATCATGACAGAAGGGCAAGGTTGAGGAAAGCAGCTCACCTCATGATGGCCAGGAAGCAGACCCAGAGGAATTAGGTCACTGAGGTTCTGAGAACATGGCAGCCAGGAAGTAGAGAGAGTTTGAGTGCAAGGATCCAGGGATAACATAATCCCCAATGGCACACCCCAGTGAAATACTCTCTCCAGCCATGTCCAGTGACCTATTTCCACCACCCATTCATCTATTCAAATTATTAATCCATGAAATGGATTAATCCATTGATTAGGTTTAAGCTCTTATAATGTAATCATTTCACCTCTGAACATTCCTTCATTGTCTCACACATGAACATTAGGGGATGCCTCATATCCAAACCATAACATCTATCAAAGTACAGCTGAGAAGCATTCAACTTTAAAATCACTTAGCTATCATACACAGGGCCCTCTGGTACAGAATCTGAGAACCGGGGCCTATAACCCCAGAACCCAAGTGACTTAGTCACCCAGCCTGCTACCAAACACAGATCTGAGATCCTGAGTGTCACTAAAGAGAAACTGCAAGAATTAGGAACTGAAACATTTCCTGATGGCATTATGGATATGGCATCTAATGAGCAAAGGCAGAGCCAAATGAGGATACCTCTCAGATTCTAGGATCACTCCAGTTCTACTCACTATGTGGCTTCATAATGGATTAAACTTCACTCAGTCACAGCTGATCCTCTAATCTGAAGTCATCTAACACCAGTATCTTTAATCTTAGCCAAAAGGCTGAGAAGTAATCTAATACCGTATCTTTAATAGTGATGTTCCTTCAGGCCAGAGTATTTCCACTGGGGGGATAAAAGAAGACAGAAAACTGAGGCACCTCTTGCAATTCCTAGCTCCAGGACTTCCAATAAAAGAATCCAGCATTTATGTAGTTTCCTAGGAAGCAAAAGGTGACTTTGATCCTGAACTGCAAATGGTCTAACTCCAAAACTAAAACCTCTGAAGAGCCAGCATCCTCTGGGGATCTATGCGGAGCTGGAACCAGAAGACCCCATTGATGGAGACCTCCATTTGTGCAGTAGGATCCCTTACATGAGGAAAACCTAAGTGGCAGTTCCATATGGTTCTGATCCTCCTTCTCTTGAGATGTTTCTGGTACCTGCAAGTTCAAAGGCAGATGGTGATACTAATTTAAAGAGGCTTCAATTTCAATGGCAGCAGAACAATATTTAGGTTGCCAATAAATAGATACACAGAATAAGCTATATAAAAATGATACTTTTATGTGAATCAGAATTACATAGCAGTTTGAGGAGACATAGTCTCCTCTCCAGAGCCAAACCTTGGGGAAAAAAAARRARRAAARRAAAAAAAAAAGAAAGAAAATTGAACACTGAGGCATAAAACTCTCAAGATAAATCATTATGAGTAGTAACTTCAGTTGTTTTAAAAATAGATGGAGGAGAAGAAGAAGAGGATGGTGATTATATCTCATGGAAATAATGAATCTCAGCATGATGTCAGTACTAGAAGGCCTCACTTGCACCTCCTTAATAGGTTAATTTCAAAGCAATACTGAAACTCTGGAATCTGTTAGAATGGCAACCAAAGTTTCTGCAGCCCATAGAAACACCTTCTCCCCAAATTTCAATTTCTCATCAAGAACTCCTACAGGTGTGGTTCATGGGCAAAGCAGAATCCTCAGCTCAAGTTCTTACTTAAGGATATTCATAGGGGAGGAAAATCAAAGGTCTCCACAGAGAACTTGTTTTCCTGCCTACAAGTCAACTTGGTAATGGCAAAAGCACCGCACATCAGTCAAGATCCTTAGGCCTTGCAGACACGAATCATTGATTCTGAGGGAGTCAATGCTCTTTAAAGAAATCAAAGTGGAAAGAAGGCAGAGGATGGGGTTGAAGACTGCAGATAAGTTTGCTTTCAGAATGCCAGAGCCAGACACCAAATCATTCACAGTGAGATAAATCTGTAAGTACAAAGTTTTCTATGATTCTGGATGGTGCCCTCGGCCCTTAAGATGCAGGATAGGCCTTATGAGGGAATGAAACTACCATAAGCCAAAGTGCAGTCTTCAGTAAGGGACCCAAAGTCTCTTTTACTCTTGCAGAGGCAGGTGTTCAGCTTGATGATTCCAATGGTTGCTTTTCAAATGCTGGGTGTGGAACAGAAACCCGAAAATTCCCAGAAGGTTTTAATGCTGAACTGTAAAAATGTGTGCTCGTAACACCATCCTGGATCACTTGGGAAATTTTCCAGATTATAAATTTGCTAAAAAAACGTTTATTCGTTCATCAACACTGAAGATGGAAAATGTGTCCAACCCATGCATCTCTATAGTCACAGAATCCCAATTCTGCCTCTGAAGCCAACAGTTGCAGAACCACACACAGTCTCGTGCGCAGCTCTGCCATGCCTTCTTGGTTTGTGGGTGAGTGGAACGGCTTTTCTCTCATCTAGATTACTATAGACTTAACACTTGGGTGTGCAAGATCTGACTTTACGCGTAGCATCCATGTTTG